ACTATCTCGACTATCTCGACTACTTCGACAAGCTTATCTTCCCCGGATATGTTTATTCATGGGCAGACGGGGCTTGTGAGTGCACAGTCCCGACTGCTGCAACAACTCTCACGACATCGAGATAAGATTACTCTTTTCCAACCATGCGGAGACGGACGGACTGATAGTGCCCGCCAACAGCCTACAGCGTCTTCAATTCCAGGCAGCCAGCATGCAACTAGTAAGGACACAAGGAAACGAAAAGGTATGACTTCTACTCCTACCTACCATCGAACAGAACGCAGATGTGCCACCGATACCAACCCATCCACCAGGCCGCTCCTTCATTGCTGCGATTTCTGTTGTGTCAGTCAGAGAGGCCAAATTCTCTGTTGAGGAACGGTCTGACTTCCCCGGCAAGTTACTTACGAATGATTCGGTGGGCTGCCTTGAGGACTTCCAGCTGCAGCACATCTTAACAACATATGCGAACGCTCGATTCCGATTCGACCTAGGAGACTTGATATCTGAGAAGTTCATACTCGTCTTTGGCTACCTGAGACATCTGATTCTCCATTTTCGTGCGCTGGAGATATGGTCACCTTCTATGGACCAGCAGCAACGCCGTGTGGCAAAGGTCTATCCCAGCTTTCCTGGACAACCCCTTCCCGGAAGAGTTGGCCGACCTCTCAGTGCAGAACAATTCCAGCACGTGAAAGAAGTCTTTACAGAACTCATTGGGCAAAAACACGAGATTAGAGAGTCCGAAGAGAGCGCATACAGCTACCTTCTAGGTTGCATGGAGCAGCTCATTCATCACATCAGGGGACAGGAAGCAGAAATGGTGATGGAAGGGGAACTATGAGGCAAGCACTTCAGTCCGGTCCAAGTCATCTCTGGTTGATTACGCAGCCCCCAGAAAAGTACTTGATATTGATAGAGACTTTCTTACATAATTAGGAGTCGAAGCAGACCAAATGTAGAGGTTGAGAAACTTCGTTACATTGCCTCATTGAGCATATGTGGCGATACTGGAGCGGGAAAAGGTGTCCAAAATCTTGGCAATGTCAACTGTTAACTAAGACAGGCTTCAGAGAGTGATAACGAGTGTGCACAATTGTAGTAAGGATTGTGCTTGCAATCTGCACAGATGATAGTGACTGTTGGGATGATTTTGGTGGGGATGCACAATATTGACGCCGGTAACTAAACTCGACAAAGTGATAGGCTGTTCCCTGCACCCGCTCTGTTGTTAAGCAGTTGATTGTGAGAGCCCTCGAGGCCGGAATCAGATTCAACGACGAAAAAGTCGGATCCAATGGTCAGGGTCGCAACCCAACGTGAAGGAGTCAAATTCGGACGGTGAAGGCTGGTGAAGTCAAGCTCTAACTTCGGAGACTAAATCTAACAATTATGGCGGGCCCATCTGCAGTGTCAACGGGGTACAATGGAGTACTCAAAACGAGTTTGTAGTGGCAGCCGAGAATGAGGTGTTAGGGCCGTTCAATACTAAGCGGAGTGACAAATGAAGGTTCGAAGCAGTGCTGTTGTCGATGACCGAGGCATCTGGTAACTCCAAAATGTAGATAGAATGCATTCAGATCAACTCTTGACGAGGTTTCTCGATGTGACGGCAAGGTTTGACCCATGATTGTGCAAAAGGCAGGAAATTCTAAGGCCGTGATGACGTGTACGCTCCTGAACTTCCCCAATTTTGGATTCCCTACTTCCTCGCCTTTATTTCAATTTCTTCTGATACGCAGCACGGATTTCGTGCCGAATTTCTGGCATGTCTCCCAACTTTACAACAAAACATCAGCGGTAAGAAGCTCTCCAGGCAAGTTGCAAAATATGTTCTGGAGGTATCACGATTAACCCTGATATCCAGCACGTTATCAATAACTTCACAGAGTTGCAAGCCACAGCACAACCGGCCTCACCTCACGCTTCACAATCATGTCGGTTCGGAACGCAGCGATCGTGCTCAAACGAAGCGTGATAGGGTGCTGGAGTATTTGGGCCTGGTTCAGCTCGCGCGTTCAATGACGTCTCTGGTGCTCTCACTTCACAGGCTTCTTAAGTCAGAAATGAAGAGTGAAAAAATAATCTGCATGTTTGACCGGAACATGACTGAGATGTGGATTAACAATGTCTGCAATTCTTTACTAGCTGATCCACCAAGCCGTCAAAGGGCTGGGCACTGGGTCCACTTCTACTGATGCAGTGTGAAGAAGTTTGTGAAGGCCAATGCCCTTGCAATCTCAGTGGTCTCAACGCTTACCGATATTCTAAGTTCGACATCGCTCTCGCACCAAAGCGTTCCGCTTGCGAAAGCGAACACCCATTGGTAGCCAAGGAATGCAGAGAAGAAGGCGGGGACATCTACAGCAAGAAACATGACTCTTCATACACTACAGGCAACTTCACCAATGTCTATTGACAGTCAGTTCAGACCCATAGCTGTTGTCGCACTGGGGGTGACTTGTTTGAGAAGAAAGGGCAGAAATAGTTCGCTGTGTGTAAGTGGCACGAAGCTGGCCCGGAGCAAGACAGGTAATATGATTTGACGGGCCGATTACGACCTTCTCACTCCGTTCTTTGCAGTGTAGTTAGTGAGTGATGATATGGAGAAGGTGAACAACCCAAGCGAGCAACATACGTGTCGTATTCCTTCGGTCATTTTCGAGGCTCGGAGGCTCCAGGTTTAATGGATGGGCGTTGGCTTGACGGTCAATGGGCCAGACTAAACGCCGTCGGCATTAATGATGAGGACGATGTTCTGGTGATAATAATCCTCTTATCTGATGCCCGGTGGTCATGTCAGGTTGAGTCGCGCTATTACCTGTTGAGGGTTTAGAGCAATCTCGTCCTGCTACCTAGACATTCTTTACCCCCTTACCCGCCCGTCTTCTCCTTCCTTTTTAATTATCTCGACATTCAATTGCTGGCCTATAGCTCTCTAATCATCCAATTTACTCACTCTACACCGGGGCAGAATGGACACCAGCCGATTGCACCTTGCGTCCAATCCAATGGCAGAGCCCACGTCCACCGGCAGTGACTCTGCCGGAGCCACAGCCGGAAACAGCAAGAAGTGCACCGATGCCAGCATGTACGAGTCACTCAGGGCGCGCACTATAGCCTTGCCGTGACGCCAAAGCCAGATCTTTTGAGTAAAAAAGTTAGTCGGCCAGTCTCTCGGTCTTCAGTCTTCAGTCGATGACTTCCATCCCCGGATCAATCCATGTGTCCTGCATCCCTCGACATGTATGCTCCCAGACCAAGAGATGAATCATCCAGCTTGAGCTATTGCAAAACATGGCAACACTTTCACGATTCCTTTTTCGCAGCTGCTGCGCGTCTTTCTGAGTTTCAGCGTCCCAGCTTTGACGATGTCGAGTGCTAAATGAGCCTTCTAGAGCTTCTAGGCATGGTTTCTGGCTGAAGAAGCCACCGAGACTTGTCGAGAATCGCGAAAAGCCCAAGAGCCCAAAAAGCAGCAGTTAGGAGCCCATCGCCACCTATGCGCCGAAGACAAGCTCGAACCAACATCGTACGATCCAAGCGTCGCTCCCACGCACATTGTGAAGTCGTACGAACGAAGATGTCCCAACGCCAAGACAGCTACCCAAGCATGACGGGGCGGAGCATCTAGTATACCCTCGTGAAACCCCCGGCGTCGTTCCCCGGCGTTCTGAAGCCTCGCGTCTCTCTTCTGCACTCCCAAGATCCGTCGACAGTAATGGCGGGGGCACCGAGCGGGAAAATGACTGGACACTTTGGCTGAATATGAGACGGGCTGGGGTGCATGGAGTTGTGTATGTATGTTGACAAGGGGACGGAATGTCCTCAACTCAGTCGGGGGATGTGATGGATCCGTGGACATCGGATGGTAACATCCGCATTAAAGGTCCTGGCCTTGGGCTCGTTGAATCCAGCGAAACATGCCAAATATAGCACCAAACCTCTCCCCATCTATACAATCCATTGCCTGAATTGCTATTTTCACGAAAGGAATATGCGTCAAACATGTTATAAGCGCCCCAACGGATCTCACTCTCCTGCGGCAGTGAATAGTAGATGTCTTCCGGCCATGCAAGTTCTCTGAGGATAGCTAACCCTAGTGCGAATATCAACACCGCTCTAGCGTATCTTCCTGCTCCTTGCCTTGCCAGAGGCGGTCACTGCCGCCGCATATGCACACTTTCGGCAGGACGGCTCAGAGGATATCGACGCTTTCCTAAGGGCTCGAGGAGAAGGGCTCGAGAGAGAAAGCCCGGAGCTGGCCAGCAAGGATATAATGAGATACTACACACGCTGGACAGGACGGGCTACAACTCGAGCTCGCGGCCCGAGAACGGCTTTGGATTCACGGTGCTGCGGAAGATCATGCTCAAGACCAACGCCATCGTCAAAAGGGGATTACTCCTCATGGTCAAATATGGTTTCATAGAGACGGGAAACACAACGGTTTCTGATCGTTGGTCTTTGGATTGATTAGCGAGTGGTGAGAGGCAATCCTGGTGGATGACGTCGGTAGCTGCGGCGGCGGACGAGGTCGCGGCAAGATTGATGAGTCCCATAATTTACCGCTGGTCTCCCCCTGCTATCACGACATATCATGTCTCTGCCAGCTAAAATCGAAGCGTACAACGACTCCATCCTCTCCTGGAGGAAAATGAAGAATGGATGACACAGGGAAGAGGAGTTTGGTACTTAAAAAAGGGGGGGCGGCGACGGATGGCCCGCTAGGTGGGCCGAGCGTCGAGAGTTGTTAATTCTAGGACAAGAACTCGTGACGTCGAAAGTCAGGGGCGACACACCACCCGTCATCGCAACAAAGCCCCAACAAAGAGCATACAACGACACCCACGAAAAGGCCTGGTGATCGCTTCATGCTGCAGGATGGAGGACTCACTGCCGAGGACAGTTGGGGATGATGTTGATGGTGTACCAGAACGCGCACGCGCCCTCGCCGGTTTTGGCACGTCACCAGCGAGCCAAGGTATGACACCCGGCGCGCACCTAAAGCCATCCCACATGGAAGCGCTCGTCACTGACCACGTGGTATATTAGGAATTGAATGTGCAAGCCCGCCTCTTAGGGCCACCGTGTTTGTGTCCAAGGATACGGACCCGGATGTCAGTGCCAGTGCCAGTGCCGGTGACGGAACAATCTGCCATGGAGATGGTGACCAAAACAGCGAGGCTTCCATGGCTGCTGAGGCTTCGAGCCATGGTGACCACGCACAAGCACAGCAGGAGCACAAGATCGTCTTGCCGAACCCGACGCTGCCTTGTAGTGTCGTACGAGCCCTTGTGGCTCTAGACCAGTATCGCAAGGGCACTCGTAGCCCAGAGAGCGTCGCCATCATCCCGATGAAGGCTGGCGAATTCGACTTGCTGGTGAACTATCTTTTTGAGCCGGCGGAGCGCGCCGATGTCTCGGGATACGCTGGCAGAGCACCTTCCATCTACGATGGTGGTGCATGGACCGCCACCATCTCCGAGCAGAAAGCCCACGCCGACCACAACGAAACGGAGACGCTTGGACTGGGACTGGGACTGGGACTGGGGCTGAGATTGGATGAAGACCGACTTCGTGCTTTTGTTCAGCGTTCCAAAATCAAATGGGACTACCTGTTTGCTTTGCAGCAGCTCGCCATCATCATGAATGAGACAAAGCTGCAATTGGCGCTCAAATCGAGTTTTCCACAGTTGTGCTTGGACACGGCTAGAGAGACCGCCAACCGCCCCGGTCATCGCGAATACGAAACGCTTCTCGCAAATCTCGTAGTCAAAACAGAACACATGTACAAATTCGAGGACAACATATCGTCAGACAGCAACTACTCTCCACAATCCAACAGCACAGATTCGTCGAAACGCTCGCTGAGCGCTTCAGCCAACAGCCCGGACACGGCGATGAACAAACCATACTCGCTTCGACTGACGCCGCGTCTGCACACCCCCGTTCCCGGCCAATCAGCACCGGAAGAAGACAGCGACGGATCGGACCAGAGCTCCTGTGTGCGTTCTCAGACGGTTGACAGCGTCATCCAGCAGAAGAGGTTGCGAGTGGGACTTCGCATCCCGGATCCCTGCATGGCTTTCGAGATCCAGTTTTCCTACCCGAGACCGTCCGAAGTAGTTGAGGGTAAGCAGAGTCACCTTTCCTTCTTGTCAGCACCTACAGCTGTTCTCGTGCCTCATTGTACACGAGATCCAGATGAAGACCCGATCTGTGCGGATGAACTAACCTCGGAGCAGCTCTTCTGTCTGTGTTCGCGGGTGATATCCATTGCATTGTCTGCCTTTGCGTCGAGTACCGCAACCAGAAGACACGTTTCCATCAGATATACAATCCGCCTCCGTATGACGTCCAAGTCAAGATCTGGCGATACGTCGCCCGCGACGGCGACAAGCCCCCTGGAGTATCCTATGCAGTCCACGATCTCCGAATTAGCAATCAAACGAACGCTGCTGCGCAAGGCCATTCCCATGCCACCAAAGACACGAATGACGGGGGCGACACAAACAGAACACCAGAGACTGTTGACTTCTACCTCCGTGACTTTCATCGCGACCTACCTGCTGACGTCCTGGTACATGTTCCTCGCCAAGCTATTCTTGACCAGGTCGACCAGGCGCTGGAGAAATTACGATTCAATGATGCTGATGATCTGGAGGGCAACGAGAGAATCAAAGATCGAAAGACTAGTAGACCGGACGAGGAATGTCGTTTTTAGGCAAAAGCGTTACTGTGTGGAGCTCTGAGGCCAGCTTCGACCACTGTGTGCCACATGCAACGACTCGGGAGTGCTACGCAGGCATTGGAGGACAGAATCCGGAGAAGTTCCTGTCCATGTTGAGACACCTTGGGATTCATTGAATCCCCCCGTGTTTGGAACCGGTCAACAAGGGCCGGCACTGAGACTGTTGTGGTGGCGGTATCGAGACCCGCGTTGGTGTTGGTGATGTCGGATTATTTGTATTATATGAATGGCATGTCGGAACTGTCGTAAAGTTCATAGGCGGACAGCGTATGGATTTCCAGATGCCAGATTAGGGCGCTGGGTACACGCTTGCCCTCGGTCAAGTCCGAAGTTTTAGACCATCAAGATTGATTTGTTAGATACCCAGTCAGCGGGCGTCGTTTTATGGTATCACACTCGGGTATCTGTAATACAAAAGAAGGTTCAGGCGAGTCAAGCCAATCGTATTGCTGTGAAACATTATCGTGATGATTTCTTGACTCTACAAATCTATAGATGGGCTTTGCTTCAATTTGCTTCCACGTAGATCCTTCTAATTTCATTTAAAGTCGCTTCAAACATCCTTCATACTGGCAGCCAGAAGGATGTTAATTGCTCAAGCCTACGGCAATCAAGATGCAGACCACAGTAATACAGAAGGCGCGTAGCGGCGGCTACATCCACTTTTCGGTGAGCTTGCTGCGATTTCAGTTGTGTAACTGACCGGAACGAAATAGAGCCAAAAGAAGTTGGAAAGCTTAAAATACGGAAAGAAGGACAACGGGTTTTTCGAATGCTTTGGCTTAAGCAATTGTATAGAATATTCTTCACCATATTTCCATAATATAGTTTAGCTGAAATATAGGACATGTTTCAATGTCATGTATACCTACGTAATAGACAGCGCTGCGAACAACCCTTGGCCTATTTCTCGTTACTAAAAGCTCAATCAAGGAGCCTGAGATAGTCTGCTATTTTGGTTGTCGACCTGGATAAGTTACTACCGCCGTTTTGGGCATCAGTGGTGTCTAGCAGCATTCCGTATCTCACAGCTCTTGAGCCTCGGGCTTTTCCGATGTGTCCAGGCTGTTTCCATTAAGAACCCGGATGAGACCAACCTCCTCTTGAATTGCAGCCAGTAATTTAAGATCCTCTCGTGTGGTCTGCACGCTGCTACTCAGTATAATATGCTTGCATAAATGAACAAAGGAATGGCGTGACGAAGATATACCCAAACACATTATCCATTTCCTCCAGTGTTTTGCCCTTAGTTTCGGGCAAGAAGAACCAAACAAATAGCGCCCCTACAATACACCAGGCGGAAAAGAAGATGTAAGTGCCCCAGGAAATGGCCGACAGCATCAGTGGCGTGATGAATGCAATGATGAAGTTGTTCATCCAGTTTGACGAGGCGCTGATAGTTGTTCCTTTTGCACGGATTGAAAGGGGGAAAATTTCGGCAATAAGGGTCCATGATGCCGGGCCCCAACTATAAGCAAAATTGACAATGTACAGCCAAACCATGACCACGGCAGCCCAGCCCGCAGCTCTATGCGCTTCCCAGTCGCCTTGGCACTTGGCGGCAATGACGCCCGTGATCAATTGACAAAGGAACATGCCAATAGACCCGGAAATAAGGAGTGGCTTACGACCAACCTTATCGATGATGAGCATTGCCGGAATTGTGGTCAGCACATTGACAACTCCCACCACACCAGTCGCGAGAAGCGAAATCGTGTTCCCATCGAGACCGAGCGATTGGAATATGATCGGTGCGTAGCAGATAATGGAGTCAATTCCCGACCACTGTTGGAAAAACATTACCAACGAACCAAGGGCAACGCGCTTAAAACAGTCCTTGATGCCGAAGATGTTGTAGCATTGCGCGATTTCTCTAAGAAATGGGTGGTTCTCCGTCTTTGTGATAGTTCAGGGAATCTCTTTTCAAATGATCGTTTCTCGATGAGACTCTCCGACTTGATTTCGAGCATCTCAACGACAACCGCAGGATCATCGGCCGGCAGTCGTCTGAGCTTGCTGAGAGTAGCAAGCGCCTCTTCGTCACGTCCCTTGTTGACAAGAAGGCGGGGAGAAAATGGGAGAAACCAGACTCCTACAGCAAGAATCACTGCCGGGATGCCTTGGATGATAATGGGCAGGCGCCATGCCATATTAGACTGGGTCTCACCCGAACCGCCGATATAAGCAGAGCCGTATGCAATCCAGTAAGCGATCATGATGCCGATTGTTGTTGCAAGCTGCTGTATGGCGACAAGAAAACCTCTGATCTCTGGCGGAGCAAGTTCAGCATTGTACAGAGGACTGCGAGAGGAGAACGTTAGGATTGATCTTTGCCGCACACAGGATTAATAGGAACTCACACAGTCCCAGAAAGAGTGCCCACGCCGATGCCAGTGAAGAAGCGGCCTGCATATAGGTATGCTGAGTTTTGAGCACCGGCGGTCAGATACGAACCGAGAACAGCCCACATAGCGCCGGAGAAGATAGTGTGCTTTCTCGTGAAGATTTCGCAAAGAATGCCAGCAGAGAGAGCGCCGGCCCAGCCACCGAGTTGTAGGATAGATGTAAGCCATCCTTGGGCGCTAGAACTCTGAACAACGCCCGGGAATTTAGTTTCGAAACTATGCATCACCAAGGCTTGCCCGAGAACGCCCTGTTGGTATCCGTATAGTAGGCCTCCCTGTCAACGAAGAAGTGTTATGAAGGATAGTCCGATAATTGCGAGACTGGGTAGCAGCTTACAAATGATGCAAAAAGAGCAATACAAAAGACTCGGATGTTTGATCGCAAGGCGTAGACATTTCCCTTGCGGCCTTGAGATCGAACGACAGTTGTCGCGCCCGAGGCGACATGTGTGCTTGTTGCGGTCTTATTTGGCGATGGGGTCCTGTTTTGGGAGATTAAAAGATGACCACAAGGGGAGAAGCCGTTGCTGCAAGTCGAAGACTAGGCGAGGAGAGTCTCAGTATATATTATGACTACTCTATAACCACTTGCCATGGTCTAGTACGGGGCCCCGCAAACCTCAACATGGGGCCTTGGACGATCCAGTATCATTACCGACTAACATTAGGTGCCCGGGAAGGAGTCGGAAGTTGACGATTGCGGTTAGCTTCCGATCCATATATGGGACGATCGTTTGACCGGACTCCGCATAATTCGAGTTTAGTAGCCGGTCGCGAATGATGAAAGGAATGCGGCCGTATTAAGGCCGGCAGCCACAACGGATCGCATGCAGCCACGCACCGCCACATCATCGGTCTCTCTTTAGCAGGCGAAAATCTATGGAGATAATGAATTCCTCTAGCAAACTATTGCTTGCTACCGACTAGTGGATCTTGCCCTCCTTCGCCTCAAAGCTTCGAATCACGGCCTCCCAGCCGACAGTAGAAGGTAAAATTGGGAGCAATACAAAAATCTTGGGTTCGATTCAAATGCAGAGACCTGGGGGAAGCTCAAGACTGCCACAAAGCATCGCCACAAATCGCCACAGTGCTTTTCAGCCTGAGGCACCAAGAAAAAAACAATCCTATTACCCCCTTGCAGGTTTTTGATTTCCTCCATTGATGTCCTTCGCTCACCTATGCCATATTCCACAACCCGGTTGCACCCCATCCATCGCCATGGCTCTACTCTGCAGCGATCTCGACGACGAGATTAGTCAATTCTTTTCACAGGCATCAACCACCCGGGCAGAATGCGACAACCTAGCCCGTACGATGTTTGGAGGAATGGTCGATCCTGTTCCGGTCCAAGGGGGGACCAGCTACACCGTGGTGGCAGGGCCAAATCGCGAGAAGATCGTCCAGTTCCGATACCTGGATGCCCAGATAGACATGAGGATGTTGGACCTCGCCAGACAGGTTCATGGAGACATTGTGCCCGAAGGTGCTGCCCTCGGCCAAATTGGCAACGACGCGCAACAACAGCTTGCAATATATCAGATGGCCAGGCTTCCAGGGGAGAACTACGCTATGGTGCGCACCTCTCTGACTGAAGAACTCCAAAGCCAGTTAGCTACCATACACAGCTTGGCTAGGTCTGCCGAGATATTGCATTGACTCTCATCTGCTCTGGGTTATCTGACATTGCGAAATCAGTTTCTTTGCGCAAGCCTGGCGTCGGCCGGTGGCTCTGGACCAGTGTGCTCTTCCTGCTATGGCTGCCGAACTCTCAAGCCGGCTCGATGATGTCTCCTCCTCTGGCGTTCTCACTGCTCGCTTGCAGTCGGCCCTCGACGAAGTGAGGCAGCATCTGCCAACCCTAGTCTCTGGAGATTTCCCGCTAGCGCTCACACACAGCGATCTTAACGAGCTGAATATACTTGTCGATGCCGGCACTGGTATTATCACAGGAGTCATCGACTGGACTGATGCGGGTATCCAGCCCTTCGGCCTTACCCTTTACACTCTAGAAAAGTTCATTGGCAGCATGGGCCAGGACGGGTGGGTCTACCTTAATAACGCCAGCGTGCTGAAGGATGAGTTCTGGAGGGCCTTCGCTCACTATGCTGGGCCAATTTCCCAGTCACAGATGGAGAGTATTCAGATTGCGAGAAAGGCGGGATATCTGCTCCGGTACGGAACATTCTACAGCAGTAGGCACAAGGGAGTTGTAGGGATCGACAACATGAGCATTGACAAGCGACGTCTATATCTTGAAGCAATTCTTTAATAACAGCCGAACGCGACCCTGCACATGCCTTGGCGTTCCATGCCTTGCTAAAGGTGTGACCGTTCTCCCTCCATCCACCCAAAGAAAAGTCCTGGCTGTCAGTCGCCAGACCAGTGCGGCCCAGTGGGCCTCGGTCCTAGTTGATGACTTGCTCCCTGCGCAGCGCGTCAATGACGGCCTCCTCATCAATGTCATACGTGGCACTGCCGTTAGCATGCGGGAGTGCCTTGCCATCAATGAAGACCTTGTGAGGTCCCTTTACCGTCTCAGCATGCTGCTGGTTGCCTTTGAGCTCGGCGGTCCCATCCACGTTTGGCACGAGGGACCAGCCCGTTACTCGATAAGCCTTATCAGCATTGGTCATGTTGGCGTTCATCATGACGGTACCGTGATTACTCGACAGGACGAACTCCTGCATGTCTTCAGATGTGCCTTCTCTGCCCAGAAGCTCGATGCCGATGAGGCTAGCCAGGTTCTTCTGCACGAGGTAGCTCTGAATGGCGCGGATGAAAGCAGTCTCGTTGGCGGTGATTTGCGCGGGAGGACCCTGGCGGTATTCGTAAGGCGTGAATTCGCCGTCACTATCCAGCACGAAAATGTGGCCATGCACGTCTCTGAGAGCCACTTCCTTGAAGTTGGTTGGACGGGTCCAGCAAGCATCGAGTTTGGCCATGGGCTGTCCGAGCATGACTCGGCCTGGGGCTAGCTGCAAGTGTCCATGGACGAGGTGATATCCAAACTTCTCCTGGACATTATACTTCTGGAGTAAGCCTTTGAGATCGGCGAGCACAGCATCGGTGACATTAGGTTGATCGCAGTCGTCGGGAAGCGCATTATAGCTTGGTCGCCGGGTGTCAGCGGTTTCATGACATAGGGGAAGTTGTCATAGGTTGAGCTTACGCCAGTCGAGATTTCTCCAGGTTGTCCATTGTAGGTGCTATATCAAGGCCGGGGATGACCATACCTTTATGGACACTCGTGGAAGCCATTGTGGGCGATATTGCTATTGATTAAGCGTTAGGCAGGAGGTAGGATGAAAGGGAGAAGAACTCAGTCCTATGAGGTAGAGGACGATGGTTAATGGGAAACACCCTGTGGATATATAAGTTGGCGACCCTATGATTCTTGTGGACCTTCTGCCTGTGAAAGGTGGGATGAAGTTGTGGCGAGAATATGGTAGGCCAGTTCTGTATAGCAGCACAAGATACGCCATCTTGATGTGATTCGCTCCAGCAAGTTGCTTAACACCATCTCACTGTTAGAAATGCATCATGCCATACTGTCCTCAATATGATAGGATAAACACAACTAGGATGCTCGGTCACGTATTCACCATATAGCAGGCAGCAGCCTAGAGGTGTTCCTTTCTCAAGCCAGCATACCAAACAAGGCGCCAACAGTAGCCCTCCTTCGGCTTTTGTCGGGTTAACAGTGACGGTGATGGGTCTCCGTTACCAAAACGTAGAGTCAACTGTGATCGAAATGCCTGTTGGACATACCCAGCACCGAGTTTGTCTTGGGGTGCTTCAATGAGCATCCCAATGCAGACTTACGGGCATGCCCTGGTTTTGATCACGAGCGGGTTCTTCCTTTGTTGTAATTCAAGGTTTGATATAACTACTGACGCTAATTGCGTTGCGGACACCGATCCCCGAATCAAAACACGTGATGAGTCAAGACAAGCTCCCCAGTCATCCATCAAGTCTGCTTGCTTTCCCAACGAGCCACCTACGAAACTATACGCTGCATGATAAACAGAATGCATCTAGTTTGAATCCCTATACCAAACTCGACTACTATGCTGAGAATCGTCCCTATGGAATCCATTTATGTCGTATCCGCGAGAACTACTATCTCTGATGGTCCGGGGATCAAGGAATGGCATATCCTAGAAGACTTTAAGCATTTTTACCGAGCAGATAGTACTCCTTGAGGACAAACCTAGAGTTTTGCCACAAGTAGGACATTGAATGCCCTTTTCTCTAGCGCTTGCGCAAGTTTCATATTCGCCCATTTTTCTTTTCGACCGGTGGGTTCAAGAATAAGCTTAGACCTTTAGGCGATAGAGCTTTCTGAGTGAAGAGAATTATATGATGACCTACTGTCCAACTTCGTAGGAGTCGTAAGCCTATTTAACATGATAGCTGTCGTACGTGCCGGAAGGCACTACTGCTTAATAGCATGTTAGGTAGCTAATTGGCCGGGCGGCTTTATGCGAAACCTTCAGTAGTCGTAAATAAAGTAATAGCAACTAGAAAACACCCCCCTACCCCCAGCGCTTTCTGAATTTCGTTCGTAACAAAGCGCCTAATCACTAACTTCGACTAGGCAAGAGAGTATGTTGACCAAGATCTATCAGCAACGCTAGTGCCAACCTACAATAATCTTCTCAAGCTTCTTTAACCAATCTTTAGCTAGCCTATCGATGACTAATATCAACTCGTATGACATCCTACTTTACGGGCGGTTAGGCTAGGTAAGATGTTGATTTTATGCTGGCTACGGGCTAGGCTACGTAGGACTAGGCAGCTTGTTAGCATCCGAGAATGATTGATAGTCTGTGACCCCGAACCTAAAGGAGCCCTACTCGGTGGTAGGTAGCCTGGTTCTACGTTGGTGAAGGGAGGTTAAAGATTTTACTCCTATCTCACGCTACGATCGAAGACACTCGTATGAGGTGGTCACTGGGGATCATGGCCAACAGATGGCCACAGACGGCCATGACTCAAGCCCAATTCAACTTAAGGCAGAAGCATACCTTTCGGCGCTTACAATGGCTCCAGGCCCAACTCAGCAGTCGATTCAGACACCTATATATATCATGTCAATTCGTCCCATTCTTAATACATTAGCATCATCCAGAGCACCTCGTAGTACTACGATTAGGGTGCAGAGTGATGTTCTAGTTCTCAATTCAAATGTCTCACTATCGAGCTGCAGGGATTGCAGGACTTGTTGGATTCTGTTCGTAGAGTCGGCGGGACTTGCGTCGAGCGTGCCACTGAGGCAGTTGTCCAAAGAGGAATGAAGTGTTTTGGGTCCCTGGGTCCCTGCGCTACATCTCCATGCAGAATATGACGCTAATAGAAGGACAACCCGCTCTATTGTCTCTCTGGAAGTCTGCACCGAAGAAGGCCAGAAAAGGATTGGCGTGGAAGTGTTCAAATCGCAGGGCGACTAGGATATTCCCGGCCTCGAAGCTTTGGGGAAAGCCTCACACATTGCGAGCAACGCGGCTGACAAGACGAGTATGCAATTTCTCACAGCTTGCCTGGAAAGGTACGAAAAGTGTCATTCCTACCGGATGGACAGTTCAATTTTTGCCTACAAGAGTTTTGAAGATCGAATGGTGTCGCCGGGGGGGTTCTGCAGTCCGGCTGTATGTTCCCGGAGAGAACGACCACGACTCGGACAGCCAAGGGGGAGAACGATGGCAGGGCGGATAAGAAACAAAATTGCGAGCCCCAGTGCATTGAAGAAGGCGAGGTATGGTACTTGGCTGACCACCATTGTCTCGCGGGTCACATGTATGATAGCAGTTTAAGCCGTGAATCTCTTCCGGTGAACGTGGCCGTGGATGTACGACAGCTCTCTCTGGTGGGAGTGCGCGCTATCCTGAGACTCTTTTGGGCATGCCAGGAGATCACAGAGGGGCTGGCCTCTCCCACTTACAAGGTCATCTCATTCTGGAACACTTGCAACACTGATACTTCGCTAGTTGCTCTCCCGTCTTCCGTACGTTCAGGCGCCGGTATGACGCCGGTATGGTCGCTCACCTGTCGCGGCCGGTTTGATTACCTCACGGTCATTGCTTCGTAGGTATGCCTATTCTTGTCGGGTTTTCGTGCTACACGAGAGCTTCCGCGAGGTGCTGGTAAAAGTTAGGATGCTCCCCGGATCTTGCAGAGGGGTCGGAGCTGCTGCAGCAATATGGGCAGTTGGTGGGCTCTGGGTGTGTAGACTGGCCGGAACTGTGTTCCTCGCTTTGTTACGACGTGGCACTGACTTAGGAGGGCTACCTCAGAGGGATGGCCCTTTATAGTTGGTCGTTTATCATAGTTGGTTTCCGACAGACCTTCGTGCATACACCTTCACAGGTAGCCTCTTCCAGGTGGTTCTTCACAGATGGTTCTCTACAGATGGTCCTTCACAGATGGTACTTCATGGATGGTACTTCATAGATGGTACTTCATGGATAATACTACCTGGATAGCCGCTTACTATCAAAGGTTTCACCATCCTTAGTTCCTCGTCGGTAGTCTTTCAGGGTTGACCGTTCCTGGATGCCCGTTTCCAGAGGGCCTCTCCCAGGTGATCCATCACAGATGTTGCTTCATAGGCAGTTGCTCACTGCAGCTTTCTCACAGATGGCAATGCACATGACCCATGAGAGTGGCTAGTATAAGTAGGAAGGAGAGCAAGCCTTCGACGATATATAGTTACTGCCAGCCCTTGAGACTGTTATTGCGAATCTGCGTCAAGCCAAAGGCAAGGAGTCCTCTGAAGGCGCCAGAAATTGCAGCTGCGATCTATATATATATATATATGTGTGTGTGTGTGTGTGTGTGTGTGTGTGTGTGTCTGCGGTAGCCAACTTGATGTCTTGTCCAGGACGTCAGCCAGACTGGCATCTGTACAACCATGGCTCGGAGGCATCTTGAACGTGGAAGAAAGCTGACCCGCGCAGCTGTCATACCAGCAGAGCTACCCGTCCGCAAAGACGCCAACATCCGAGGAGGGACTGAGTGGGTGAGTGAGTGCTGAGCCGCGGCGACGACCCGTAGCAACTTGGAAAGGCTATGCCCGCCCGGAGCACAGCGCGCACGCCCCTTCGCTCACCGCCAACACAGGATCTTCCTTGGGCGAGTTTAGGGAAAGACCTTGTAACGCGTGCTTGTAGTTTGCCGCCACCTTGCTGTCGGACTTCTTTGGCTACTACGTCGATGATGGATAGAAGAAAGTCATCCTAGCCAGTGTGTGACCTCGACCTGGATGTCTAAGTCATTGAAGGTGACTAAATCGTAGTACTCGGGCGGCCGGAGAAGGTATCATATCAGATCGGAGAAGAGGCTGCTGGTGTCACCGCCGTGCTCGAGAGGCAATTGGTCGAGCTGATAGACCGACCAGTGGGGGACCGTACACTGAAGGCTCAGTGTCTTGGCTGTCGGTTACTAGAAGCATGCCGGACTTGGTCAGAGTGGCATTGGGACTTTGTGACTTTGTGACTTTGTGACTTTGTGACTTTGTGACTTTGTGACTTTGTGACTTTGGGACGCACTTCTAGTGCGCAACATGCATCAAGCGAGTCCGGGAGTGTCACTGAAATGGAAATTATCAGAGAATAGGTTAAGAGAGCCGGAGCCGGCAATCTCGACACAACAGAGACAAAGAATGGAAGGACTATGAGGATGTCTGACTACTTATAGATATAGCATTCTAAGCAGGAGGAATACTGCCTCTCGCTCTTCTGCCACGTGTTGTGTTTTGGCGTGCTTGGGCTGCCTATCCCGGTCTTAGAGCTCCCGCTCAATAAACAGCATCTGCCACTTGAGTGTGGGCACGTTGAAGGAGCACCTGCACAAGAGACCGATGGAGTGGGCGGTTCAGAACCAACCCTGCCTTAGAGGACACACCATCGTCTCGCTGTCCAAGCAACTTCGAGTTTGAAGTTCGAGGGCCCGGCCAGAGGGAGGGGCATGGCTGTCCCTGGCTGAGCTTGAGCTTGAGGTCGAGGTTGGGCTTGGGCTTGCAGCTCGGCAAGGCAAGGTAAGGCCATGGTCGGGCGGCGCATTGAAGTCCGATAACGATTCTGGTCTTGCGACGAGCTTGCTGACAAAGGGGTTACCTCCCGCCGAACGGGGGACCTCAGGAAGGGGAAAAGAAAGGTTAGGCTGACGATAGGCGGCGCCTTTGACAGGAGGACTCGGATGATTTAATGGCCATCAATGGTTAGAAGCTGACAGCCCTTAAAAAGTAGAGGCATGGCCTGTATAAGGACTGTCGGCATCGACCCCGGTGAAAGTGTGCAGGAGAATTCTACCTAATATAGCCATTCGAGCCAGTCCCGGAGAGCATTCCAGCTGACATTGAGGATGAAGGAACTCTGCCGATTGCGGGCTTTCTTCCCGTTGGACGACTTCAACTTCTCCGTGTACTGACCCCGCGAGACATCCGCCTAAGCCCGGCTGAGCACGATATTCAAGCGCCGATGGTGACCTCAGTGGCTGAGGGAGCGCAAGGCCCGCGCCATATAAAGGGCGCATACGAATAGGCACTCCACTGTGATTCAATACTCAATTATTCAAATTGCAATACTTGTGGGCTGAATAAAGCAGAAGACAGATACTACAAGGCGGAAAGAGAATTGAGTACCGCTAATATAATCAATATCATACATGCGCCTCAGAACGGTGGCTTGGGAGAGGCAGACCAATTACGAGGTTCGCAATGTCCTGTCAGGGTCGAGTACCTAGGTTACGCCCGAAAACTAACTTCTGTAGGTCAGTTAACGTCAGCGCAAGACGCAGGGGAAGTGTGTGGCAGGCAAGCTGAGAAGCTTCATCCCATCCTCAACATCTCTCGGGCTTATCAACATAAACCCTCCTTATTATAATCCTCATCGCGAGTGTATTCGCGAGCCGAACACGAAGCTACATAGACACATTTGAGCTGTGCTGTGCTGTGCTGAGCGGGACCAGGCCTCCGTCTGTCTGCATTGACGGATATGGCGACGATATGATCTCTGCATCTGCTCGTCGGTATCTTCCCATCTACGCACGTAACTGATCCATCGAGTCGATTCCCTGCAGGCGAATCTATCATTACGTGACTGCTCACGCCAATGGCCAGTCGTGATCATGCGCATCTCGGCCTGTCACAGCTGGACTGACTGGCTCGGTGGTCTTGCGGTTCTTGATGGGTGTGTTTGAGGATTGGGGGGTTATATATTATATGATGGAACAGCTGAAACGGCCATGCGCAATGGAGTGGAGACGGAAAGACTGACCTTAATTCAGTTCGGGACACCCTCGGATCATAGTCACATATCAGTGGAGCTGGGCAATCAGGCTCATCAGCATAGGATTAATTGATAATGGACTGGATGGGATGAGTTCCGTTCTGGCGAGCTCTGAATTGAGATATTGTACAAATTGATATCGCAGCCAGAACCCAAGGCTACACACAGCCATCCATCCATCCATGGATGGGAATCAATATCGGATCCCTTCCTACATCCAGTGCCGTCGCTCCTCCTCTCCCATATCCCGCCCCCGATACTCATCACGATCACGCCCACGCCTGGCGTTCATCCTGTCCAAGGGCCGCCAAGAAGCCAGCGCCGTGGTGCATCGCAGCAAGGTCGATGTGCCCGCCGCCGCCGAGGGGCTTCCGCCCGCAGTTGACGTCTCGCACCACCGCGTCGGCGTACGCGGACGTGCCCCAGCGGTGGATGTGCTCGATCCACTGCGGCAGCAGGTCGCGCGACATGTCGTCGATGCCGGCGCCCGTGAGCCGCGTGATGAGAGCGCCCGGCCACTTGGTCTGTGACCCGGCCAGGCCGCCGGCCGCATTGTCGGTGGTGTCGGCGGCAGTGCGATGCGCGGGAGGGAGCGAGGCGGTCTGCGACGGCAAGGGCTCCTGGGGCCTCTTCTGGGAAGCGCGGCTGCTCGTGCCGCCGGACTTGCTTGTCTGGGTGGACGCAGATCGGGTCGTTGCAGCAGCGGCGAGCTCCCTCTCGTTGGGGGCCTTGTTGCGGGTGATGGGATTGGGATTGGTCGCGTTGGTCGTCGTGGAAGCGGCTCCGGCGACGGCGCCAGGTTGAATCAGCCAAACGCTGAATGTGTCCCAGCCGATGACGATGCAGTAATGGTAGATGCTGCTGCTGCTGCCGTCCTCGTCCGCGGCCTCCGCGTGCTCCGTATTTGTATCACCTCCACTACCACCACCTTCCAGGCCCGCGCAACCGGCTCTCCGCATCGCCTCTGCCTGCTTGTGCAGCACGAAGCGGTTGTACAGCGCCGTGCTGCACGTCTCGGCCAGGCGCTCCATGACCTCGCGCCCGGTCTCCGTGTCGGCCTGGTACTCGACGGACAGGTAGGGGCACGCGGCGCGGCGCGCGCCCACGGCGTACGTCGCGGCCTGCACCCGCCGGGCGACGGCCACCTCCTCGGGGCCGCGGGGGTCTCGCAGCGCGAGCCAGAAGGTCATGCTCGCCGTGCAGGGCGGCGGAGAGTGTCGTTGGAGCTGCTCCGTCGGCGGCCGCGGCGGCGCCGCCAGCGGCTTGGGAAGAAGCTGCCAGTCGATGCCGCTGGCGCTCTTGTTGCGAAGGACGTCGATCTGGAGATAGCGTACTGGCCGCCACGCAAGAGTGCGACTGGCTGGGCTCACTCCTGGCGGCATGGCAGCGTGCTGTTTGCTGGGGAGGCGCCGCGCGTCATCATCATCGTCGTCGTCGTCGCCGCCGCCGGCGCTATCAAACGTAAGGTAGTTCACGACGATGTCTTTCAGCTCGTCGATAGTTCTGCGCTCTTTCTCGGCGCGCCGCTTCTTCAAGACGTCGAAGAAGTCCGCGCGGGACGGTGCCGACACGTCTCCCGTGTTGTCGACCCTTCCATGCTCTGTCTTGCCCTGCGCAATGCTGCCGAAATGATCTTCCGCAGTCGTGCACAAGGGCACGCTCTCTCGAAAGACAACGCCGGGTCGGAAACGTGCACCGCCGACGGCCGAGGAGCAGGAAACGGTCTCGGATGCCGAGGTGTAGGTGCTGTCTGTTGGCGGCAGCATGGCTTCGAGATGGCGTTTGGATTGGTAGACGCGGTGCCAAAGCGCCGTGGTTTTGTGCGGATCCGTGTCCGCGACGGTGGTGGCATTGACCTCGTCGTCGCCGTCGGAGGAGGAGCAGAAGCGGCTCGATGAGCTTGTCGCTGGAGGAGGAGTTGGTGCGCGTGTGGCAGGCGCAGCAGCAGCAGCAGCAGCAGCAGCAGCAGCAGCTGGAAGTAATGTTACGTCGGACGACTTTCGCAGCGCAGCGGCAGACGAAGAAGAATGGGGGCCTGCTGAGGCGGAAAGATGACGAGGCGGAGAGGAGATGATGGATGGGGAGGGATCGTAGATGCTTTGCTCGTGCTTGTCCTTGTGCTTGTGCTCGAGCTCGAGCTCGAGCTCGAGTTCTTGCGGTTGCTGATGATGAGAGAGGAAAGTCGAGTCGGTGGCGAAAATCGAGTATGTTTTGACCTCAGGCACGATCGCCATCTTCAGCGTCGCAGGCGCATGGTTGTGGGTAGTGTGCAGGTGCACAGGCAAGGGCAAGGGCTTGGTGCTGAATGATTCCATCTTTTCTTTAGAGGGAGGGACCGACCGGACCGTAATGACGACAAGATTGTTCGTAAAGCCCCCGAGCAGGGCATCACGAACAAAGAAATTCGATGGTGTTTTAGTGAAAAAATGTCGTCGACGGTCACAGCCGCGGACACGGACACGATTGGCCACCTGCCGGTCACATGATGACAACAAACATACGCAGGGAGATGCGGAGATGCCATCTCCATCTTAACTACTAGCTGAGATGGAGATGTATGTCACCGTTCACCTCTGTAGCCGTTTCCACAACTCCGTCCTCATCTCCATCTCACCCCATCAGTACATACACATCTTCACCTTCATTTCCTCCTTCCGTATTCGCACACATACCGGATACATCGCGACAATTTACCTTCCGTTTTGCCAACGTCGCACGAACCGATTCATGGCGCGGTAGGTTGTAACAGGTTTCCCCTCCTTCATGGTCGATATCCCGTCGGCTATATTTTCCCAGCAGACTTCCTTCAACGTCCATTATCGTCATCGAGCCAGGAGACGCTTCCATCAGAATGCCTATGATAGTAGTCTCCGGTTTTGGGGTCCTTTTTCCAGTAGCTTCTGTGCTTGCTTGCATGTCCGGGGGAACCGGGGGTGGATGTCTGCGAGGATGAGGCTTTTCGCTTGTGACTGTCGTTGCTGGAATTATGGCTTGATTTCGATGAGTGGGAGGGTGAGGCTTTGTGTAGTCTAGTAGGAGCTGTAGGCGTTGGTTGGCAAGGTTGCTCCACTATTTTGTAATCGGCTTCGTCGTTGTATGCCCTTGGTGGCTCTAAGCCTGGCACAGGCAGAGGCTGGATTCCCTCGTAAGTGCCCATCAGGGCCGGGGGTTCGTAATCTGGGGCAGACAGAGGGGCTGCCTCGGCGATGGCGTGGAGGTTATTGCGATGCTTCCAATAATCCTTGAGCTCATCCTTAAGTCTGTAGGATTCTTCCCTGGCAAGGTCTTGGGCATTCCTGAGTTGTCTTCGGCCCTTCTTAAATTCTTCGAACGAGTTCTTTAGGTTTGTCGAGGAGATGGGGTATTGGTGGTATTCGGTTTCGCCATCCTCTGATTCAGCAGCGTAGTGAGCGAAGAGGTTGAAATTCGTGCCGTCTGTGGTGAAAGTCGTGATCTTCGTGTGACCGGCGAGGTAAGGCTTTCCCATGACATCAAGGGCCTGTTTCCTTGCATAGGCAAGAGCCGCTCCATCATAGCTGCTCTGTAGCTCTGCTTCTCTCATGCTTCCATCCGGGCCCTTCCATTCTCCGGCTATATGTGGCAGCGTCATAGAATAAGGGTTATCTCGGTACAAGGTGGCTCCGTCGACGTGCTCTCCGATTGGGAACGGACGGAACTCCTCCTTCTCAAGCCCCTCGATGAAGTTGGGCTTAGGAGTAGATAAGCCGTTGTTGAAGCCAACGTTTTTCGGAAAGTCTGTAAACTGTTGATTGAATGTTCTTTTGTAGCCCTTGTCGTCGTATTCCTTCAGTAGACGCCTACTCACTTCAACGATTATGGTCGCTTCATTGTCGGCTTTCGTAATTCTATTGACAAAGTGCTTATACACTGATTCCGTAGGTGACACAGTAGCACGAGGCGCAGCGTGTCGCTGGCGGACATCCTCAAGGTCCGTAGGGAGCTTGGAGTAGCACGAAGGAAGGATACCGTTCCCTCGGGCTTTGTCGGCAAAACCAGACGTCGTCGTCGAGGTGGTCTTTGTTGATCCATCTGAGGATTCCGGAGCCTTCTTTTTGCCCATCTTGTCGAACAAGGCTAGGTTCTTTCGCGTCAATCGCGCTCTTTTCGCTAGAGGTTCGTCGTCGCTATGGCTGTCGATCTGTCGTTTTCGCGACTGTGAAGTCAGGGGAGCTTGCTCCTCCTTTGAGCAAGTGTGCTTTTCGGGTATTTCGTCCATGGCGAAGAAAAGTTGCGATGAGAAAGAGAGATTGTCAGAGATTTCTGTGGCGTTCAGGCTGGTCGACAAAATGGCCTGTTTGCTGCAGCCTTTGTCGCAAGAGGTTGGTTGGTTCGGGCGAGGTGGTTGTTGGATGCGGCGAAATTTCTAGGCGGCAATTAGTGGTTCGTTCCACAACCTTAAAATGGTGCGGGGTGGTTTGCGTCTCGCTCGTCCAATGAGACCGGAGGATTAGCGCCGCGTTCTGTGCTGGTGGTATTTGCGCCAGCGTGTCAGCATGGCCTGCGCGCTTGTGAGGTGGTTCCCAACTCCATTATCGCGCAGTGTAATGATGCACAGGATTCGTGACGCGCTATCCGCAGAGCCTCACTCGGTGGAGGACCCGAACGCCTGCCTCGAGTCACTGGAGCTGCCAGGCCATCCTCCCATCAAACGTTGCTAGTCAGCTTTAGTGTGACCCTTGGCGCATTAGGATGAGGACACGTCAAGAAGCAGGGTGCTCATTACGCACCGACAGACACGGCCTCGGCCGTCCCACCTTCTTCGGCGAGGCTGGCTCAACCCCGGCCAACCTCCCCTCGCGGTTGCTGCGCACTCCGCACCACCTAAGATCTGTGTTTTCTTTCCGTCAAGTATAAGCGGCGCTGGCGAAAACTTCCGGCCCACATCCGTACTGGCTCGCAGGGCCGCCCGCATGAGCTACAGTGCCCCTTGCAACGAACCGTCAGACGAACTGGACAATGTGCTGTCAAAGCTGGAACCCATTTTCTTTGAAAACTGTTCACTGGCCAGGCTTTAGGAGTCGCTAGCCCTCAAGATGCCAACTCTGCAGTCCGATTGGGGTGAGTCAGCCCGGCAAAAATAAAATCACGAGACCCCGTACGACCAATCGTTCTTAGCCGCCCTCACGTCTTGCTGCACTTTCGCGGCGTCGATGTTCAGTTTTCACGCCGCTTTGAGCTTGATCAGAACTCAGGGCGTTCTGCAACTTATGAGGAACCAGCTGCGTACGTTGGTAATCCATAATTATGTTGACATCATTGGTAGATTTAGAACTAACGTGCCGCATCATGACCGTCCATGTAGAACCACTGGTGGCTGAGCAGCTGCCTGGCAGTGGCACGACTTTCCGGATCGTAGACGAAGATCTTTGATAAGAGGTTGTAGAGCAGGTCCGCTTCGTGCTCTGGGATCTCGGGCATATGGAATGTTAGTCTGAGGTATAAAGCGTGATATGCGCGCTGAGATCCGGTTGGCTGAAAAGTTGAAAAGAGCCAGTCCCAGTCGCCCCTATCGGCCTCCGTAGATGGTGCGTTCTTGCACCCATATTCTGGCGAGAAAATTGGCCAGAGTTCTGAATACCGAGCGTGCACCTTCATGAGGATACAGCTGTACAGACGGACCCGAACCCTGATGCATAATACGGTGGGACCATCATGAGTTAAGATTGATGATGCTGGTCTCCATCAGAAGCCCGAAATGTGATAAACGACCTAAGTTTTACCTCCTCGCCAGCCGCCACATCAAGCTGCTCGCCATCTCTAATTATGGTCAGATAATGCCTCAGCCATCATAAACGAGGACTGATTGAGAGTTACTATGCTCAACCTTTATTTTCTTGCTGCCACAGACAGGGCAGATTTGACCCTTTTCGATAATTCCGTTCCCTATACATTCGTCGCAATCTGCCATCGCTGTCTCTCAGTTAGCCATCTACACATAGTAAGTATATATGAGAGGAATACCGCAATATTTTGTTCTTTCACTCTTTATGAAGTTGGGTCTGTCGTTGGGCGCATGGATTTCGTGAGCATTTGGAGGGAATGCTTGCCCTCTTTTTAAACCCCGAGACACGGTGCGCGGCCCGATGTGAGCCTAAATAAATGAACATGTGGCTTAGCTCACGCTCAATCGCATATTCGAAGTCCGAGATTAGCCGGAACAAGGACAGCCTTTTTTTGAGCCTTTCTGCTTCTCGCTTCGAGGCCCACCAGATAGCATCAAAATCACTCCCAATGTCCTCTGTCGACAACAAACTCGAGGAGTCTGTCTCCGATTTCTTCTCGAAGGCGACTTTGTGACTGGCTGTAGCTTTCATGGGACGATTGGCTTATCACCGGCACTGCTAATATACGCGATGGATATACTCTTAGGGGATAATTATTTCAACATCTTCTTCTCTATGCTAGACGACGATTTGGATCATCAGCTGGCTACCGTACGTAGTATAGCTAGGTTCGTTAATATCAGCCTCTTACTTCTTTGCTTCAAACCCGCTGACGATATGAAAACAAAACAAAAATAGGTTCTTTACATAGTCCTGGCAGAATTGCAGCCTACCGGATCCGAATACTATTTCCACAGCTTTGAAGACTGTTACTCTAGCTTCAACTACCTCTCCAGCAACCTCCCCTCCCGCTTCCAGACAACCGGCATCCGGATACAGAAAAATCTCCCAACGCTCTTTTCTGGGAAGTACCCGTTGGTCGTCACTCACGGTGACCTCAGCGAGCTGAACATCTTCGCCAACCCCAGGACCGGTGAGATCACGGGAATCATCGACTGGGCCGAAGCGGGCATCCAGCCGTTTGGCTTCGCTCTCTACGCGCTTGACAACATCCTTGGCTACCTGACTCCTGACGGATGGGTCTTTTCATGACAGCGCTGAGTACCTGCAAGATGAATTCTGGAAAGTCTTCTGCGAACTGGTCGGGGGGGTGTGTCCCAATCTGAGATGGGGTTCATTCAGCTTGCGAGATTGGCTGGATTGTTCCTCCGGTACGGTATCCCGTACAAGCCTGGATGCAAGGGAGTAGTAGGAGTCGGGGGCCACGAAGAATACCTCCATCAAGATGCTCGAAGCCTTCATTCCAGGTTAAAAGACCCCAAGCCGAGGCGTTCGCGACGCTGCGGCTCAGCTGTCCTGTCAGCCCAAGCCGGCACCTGATACTGCGGAGGACATAGCATGGTGCCATGGGGAGGAGGGTGGAGCTTCCTTGGCGGGTAGACTAGGAAGTCCATGTTGCACATCGAATCTACAAACTACTACATCGGTGACAACAGGCAGAATTCGGTTTTGACAAAAGATAGAGTCATGATCAGAAATGGTATACGACAACGTCTTGGAAATGTGGAATACTCTGAAAGAGCTCACAGCCGCTACATCACGTCACAGGCTATGGTGAAGCGGAAGAAGGCGTGTGCAAACAAACTCGAGGAGGGAGTGCTCGTCTAGATGTTTTCTATCTTAATTTATTGTCGATCATTGCCGCCCCTGAAATCCCCGAAGGCCCAACTTACGCCTGGGTCGACTTGTCAAGTTGCGCCTGGGTAGGCATGGCATGGAGGCCAGGGATAGGCGCAGGGCTGAGGACTGCAGTGGACATTTCTGGGAGTTGTTCCAGTCGATCTTCAGACAAGGGGCGTTCGGCTATCGGATGAAGATTTCTGAGAGCGCGGTTGTGGGCAGGGCTGGGGAGAAGAAAGGATGCGATGAATGCCCTGCTTGGGTCAAGATGAATGACGAGGTGTTCTTAAGTATATGGGGAACTCCAAATGTTGATGCTAGACATGAACCTATGAACGTGAGTTTCGTGATCTCATGTCACTGTTTATTGTTCTACTACTAACTGACTAAATTTGGTATCCTAATGCTTGAACCTATCTAGCAGCTACTTGCCAGCTACTTGAATCGTACAAACTCCAGCTTTGTCTTGAGAGACGACTCATTGCGTGCATCATCATAATCGCTGTCATCATCATCATTGCTATCATCAGTGTCGCCGGAAAATGATCTACTGACGGCTGTGGGAGGAAGCGCTGGAGATGGAGAACGAAGCAGCTTATCCGGACCCCGGTGGCGGTGCTGTGGCCACCCTGGTGGCGGATTCGGTGTCATCCTTGCCCTCTGTTGAAGCAAAGCCGTCGGTTTGGATAGATGGAAGTCGAACAGACATCCAATAGCACAGATGCGTTCATACTTCAATTGGCTCAAATGAATCATGGCAATGCAATGTCCCCTGATTCCAAATTGCCATCCGATTGAGGCCAATATGAATAAACGGGTTGGCTTCGAGATATCACTTTCCAGCCCAGCCCTGTCTGGCACAAACTTTTTAGCCAATCTATTAACACTGGCCTCATTGAAGCGCATCGGAAAATAAACGAAATCATCATCGAGCACTCGGAGGGCTGCTCGACCCGGTCCAGGGCGTTTCAATGTTGCAAGCACGAAGCCCATTGTCATGGCGGTGCTCAGCTCGTCATCTTCGTGCTCCGTTTGCAAATTTAAAAGTTTTTCGATCTTCGTTAGAGAGAGGTGAGGGGCCCTCATTATCGTGGAAGCTTCTGGTTGTGTAGATTCCTTGGGCTGAAGTTGGTTCAGGAGCTGAGTCTGCGTAGGCCCTTGGCTGATACTGCCTAGGCAAATGCCTGTGCAAAAGACCGAGAACTCTGTGGAATCCATGGTATGGTAGGTGAGCCCTAAGGCGACAATCGATACATAAAGTTGGTAGAAGAGAAGAAGAGATAACATTGAGTTAAAAGGGTAAAGAGGGGGTTAAATACCATTGGGTGCTGCGGGGAGAAGGCAGCATGTTCGCGGATGCAGATATCAGGTATGGATCCCATGACCTCAACTAGATAAAACGGGTTTACGCGACAGTGAGACAGGTGGAATCTTTCATGGTCAGATGAGATAGGGTATGTAAGCAGGATCAAACTAAGTTTAGTTCCTTGTCTACTATAATCTATTTACCCATTCCTCTCAAGATTCAAAACAGTTTCGAATAGTCCTGTCCATTTCATCGCAATAGCGCTCTCGCAGAATGCGTGCATTGTCTCTGGCTGACTGACTCATCGTGGGGCCATGGACCGCGATTGTGCTACTTCCAGTCAGAAAATGAGTAGTAGAAGAGTGGAAGGACTCACACTTTGAGTATCTCTTCCTGATTTGTGACGTTCTGCGTAGTGAAATGAAGGAGAAACCTGTGGTCGAGATTGACTCGAGCTTTATCCTCATCATTTTCAATGATTTGTATCGCGTGCATTGTGACGGCAACTACTTGACCCTCAAGATCTCGAATAAGATGGCCGTTTATCGCCGTATTACTGATCATGGAGCAGTAATACGGCTTCATAAATATCACCAGGGACGGTGCGGGTATGTTTTGATAGAATATTCTGTTGCGGTGCGATGCAAAAGGTGCAAGACCTTCAACGTACCAATCCACCAGGTAGCTTTTCGCCAGTTGAACTTGTCCCGAGTTGGCTGGGATTACAAGGAGGCCATCCCGACCATACTGTTTCAGTCCGACAGAAACTTGAAAGGGCAGGATTGGTGTGTTCATAGTTGCCTCAAACTCTACGGGTAAGAGGGGAGATTCCATTGACGCCCGAGGGACTCCCCCAGGTGGCAACATGATTTGTGGAAGTCGTCCATGTTGCAGTGTAGCTGTCTGAAGTCCCCTAGGTGGCGGCAGGACTTGTTGAGGCTGTATATTGAGGCCGGGGCTGAACCCAGAGTCTGGATATTGAAAAGTCGGGTTCATTGTGGTTGGTATGTTGAAGACGGGAGGATGTAGGGGCGACCAGGGAAAGAACAGTTTGGTTCTGATATCTATAGCTACAAAGCTGGCTTAAAGAATTCCTAGTCTACTAGCACACGTTGAGGGAATGCTATGAAGCTAGTAACGCGCGGGACCGGTTCAGCTTCTTGTCATTCGCCTCAACATAGCTGACGTCATGACAACAGCCACCAAGCCACTGTGTGTAACCGTAAGTATTTATGTTCTCTTCCCCTCTTCAACTCTAGGTGATTCCCAACCCGCATTCGAGGGTTCGACACTCACGGTTGCGCGTCTTTCCTTGCCTTTGCCGACCGGAGCATCTTGAATTCGCTTACAGTACCCTTAAGGTCATAGTCGAGATCTCCTCCCAGGTCAACAACACCACTCTCTTCTCCTAAGTGCCATCTAGGAAGCCCTCCGAAAGGTTCGGGAAAGATGGTGTGCTTGAAAGATTGAAATATAAACTCATCAACAGCTGGCTTCAATGTCTCTCGCAGGCTCATCCCTCTTTGGAGCCCCTCCGCGCCAACACCGTGAAGTCTGAGGCAGCTGCACATTCTATGAGTATGAAATCATCACAGTAGCCAAACGACTTACATGAAACACGTTGTGTCCATGTAGACCTTGGTATTGCCGGGACATTGTAGCGTAAAGCAACTTTCACCTTGATCCTTCTCGTAGCTTTCAACACGATCCTCAATTTCCTGAGTGATGACACCAAAGGTTGAAGTCTTGTCTGCCGTCAATGGCGTCACTGGCACTTGGAGTGGTTCAACCTCGCTGGTGAGAGATATCATATATGCTTTATCGAGAATGATGTAAAAGTCAGATTTTAGTCGCGGGGGGAGAGATACATATGCTGAGCATATGTATCCATACCCACTGTAACTACAGTGGCCTACAGTGGCTAAGTCCCCTAGAACCTTAGCATATACCATAATTCTAGGGGACTTAGCTACTATAAGTCACTATAGTTATAGTGGGCATAGGGGGCATATTGCTCAGAATATGCTAAATATTCATCTCTACCCCCGTTGCTGAAATTTCCACTGTGGCTCAATTAAGGAGGTGTCCTACCCCCCGCCACCTGTTACCTCCACCTTTGTAGGCACGACTTACGAGGCATCAATCTCTGACATACCGGTACTAGTATATCGATGTGTGCAATGTGGGTATCTATTTTAAAAAGCATTGCATCGCTGCTAGGAATCATCTATCGCCACGCGTTTCTAACCTGAGCGCTGAGATCTTCTCTATGAGTTGAGGACGCTCTACGAATCCTCATCATCCTGACGGCTGCTCGGTTCATTCGGCGGCCTCCATACCAACCCTCAAGACATACTTCTTGAATCACGGCCAGTAGTCCTCTGCTGCCCACCGCGTGAGGCGCGCCAGTCCAGCGGCAACTTTGAATACGCCGCTAGCGGCGTGTCAGTCTTGCCAAATTGGCGATCGAGCCAAAGCGTCTATGGACGAATCAGTCTAGTCTTCTCAATGGGCGGAGGTGACTTGGCGTCTTGCCACATCTGTATAGATTGTAGCTACGTTGTAGCTACGAAGGACCATGGGCGCCCCTGAGTCACAACAGCTGGCAGGAATCCCACTGGTTGGGAATCGAGCGTACGCATTGATCAATCTGGCTTTATTACTAAGGAGGGACATTGGAAGATTAGTGCCGGCGTTGGAGGATGGCGAACAGATAGTGGCAGACATACCAAGGGGCAAAGTTGACCAACTGCTGGCGGCGCCGTCGTCCCCCAACGAGACACGCTTGAAGCAGTGGAGCATGGACTAAAGTGCTCTACCCGTTCTCTGTCTGTTTCTCCTCATCGTAGTATTCTGCCTCGTCAACTGGTGTAATGCTGTATGGGGCGAATGGTGTTGCCGACTGTGGTCGTGTCTCGTCTTCCTCAGGAGTTGGGTCGTAAACGTGGTCGCAGAAGGATGTAAGGGAATGGCCATGCTGCTGTTGCTCCATGATATCGTTCTAGACAGATACGCTTCAAATGAATTCGTGAATCATGGATTGGTAGGATCACTTGATAGAACAAAACTTACCCTAGAGTTAGCAGGCACTACCTTGTTGCCATTCCCGATATGTTCTATATCGACTAGAAGCTCTCTGAGAACGTTAGGCATTGCTTTATTATCAGTATCCATGATTTTCATATCGATTCCTACTGACATAATTTCGAGACGGGCAAGCTACTTGGTTTGGGAGCGACTGGCACGGCTTTGACGACTGGAAAATGAATTAGATAAATGATGATAAAAATATGAGGAGATAACAAGCAGGCTAGGAGAAACCCAATGATAGAATAGATATAGTGAACAGATTCTAAGCGCTCGTCATAGATAAAGAAATGAAACCAGAAAGCAGGACACAAGTATGTGTAGCCTGATCCCAGTCTTGAGGATTGGCGCTTCGCCCCTGCCAGCCCAACGCGCCGCACGTCCCCGGACCGGGCGGAAACTAGACGGCGTATTTGCGGAGTTTGGGCTCGAGAAGGAAGAACCCCAGACCGAGCTCGAGTTCTTGTCCAAATATGTAGAAGAATCCCTTGCATGTTCCGGCCAGTGCAGCACTGCCCTACGGTAATAGTTGTCATTTGCACGCAGATCGATGCACCATTGATATCCAGAGCCTTGTAGCGTTAAGTCACTCAAGTCGCTCAGCCGCTCTTTTCAAGGCAATCGGGGCATGTTCTGGCTAGTTAGGCACGGGCCTCTGCTTTGATACGAAACCTTTCTTGTATTAGGTCATCGTCAAGCGATTGGCAGGAGATAGTCCCTGGCGGATTGGTGGACGAGGCTGACTTGTTTCCCGCCGCGAGTCAGTCTTCGAGACGCACGTGGAACATCTTTAGGTTCAGCTATGATCACACTGTCTGTCTAGTATACGAGGCATGCAGTGACTTCGAGGCTGAGATTGACCTGGCCAAAATACACCACACCGTACATAGTGGCTCGTGTTGGACGCAAAACCTCAAAGATCATAGCGACCGGCACCAATACATTATCACGGAATCGACGCCCATATACTAAGACGTCTCTCAGTCATAGAAAATAAAGCTAAAGTCTACGAGAGGGAGTCCCAGACAAGCACTCCAGAGGCGCATTCTTTGGGGCCTTTATATTGACCGGGTTAGAGGTAGATACAGTTTCGTTGTGATTGCAGGGTGAAGTCTATGACTTGACTCTCCACCGCAGTAAAGTAAAACTGTGTTTCTCAAACACGAACTTCTTATCTGCACTCCACTTCGATTCTCTGATCTTGACCTTCTCTGATCCCTCCATGTTCACGTCTGTCAAAGCCGACTGTTCTCCTCCAACCATGTAGACGTTGACTTCGCCCGCTGGGTCTACCCCTGTCAGCTCCGTGTCGAAGCTCTTTTCCTTATCTGAGTTCACCACGGCCAGATTGATCCACTCGCCGTCACGAGCAGCACTGACGTCCAGCATCGGCACGATGCACGTGCTTTCGACCCATTCGGGGGTCGTCGGCCCTGTGTACGCTTTCGCCTTCACATTGACGGCAATGGCTTTTCCCTGCATGTACTTGGCGAACAGCAGAAGTGGCCAGTAAGTAGTCTGCTTGCAGATGCCGGTGGGAGAGGTCATCAACGGCGAGATGACATTTACGCTCTGGGCGAGGGTGCACATCCCGAGGTCCTTGCTGTTGCGAACGAAGATGTTCAGCCAGATGGCGACAGCCAATGCATCAGATAGAGTGTAGCATTCCTCCGCACCGTCTCTCCCAGGAGCCCTTTTCGAGTCCCACACGTTCCATTCGTCGAAACAGATGGTAGGACGCTTCTTTGATCGCGGCGCTGAATGAATTCTGGACCAATCAGGGTAGGGGGACAGGTCGAGCTCGCACCGAGCAAGGTCGATCAAGGATGATGTGATCTGAATGGCTCTTTCAGCAGCGTACGGGCTGGAAATGTTGTGGTAATGACTGCGTGTTGCTGTTAGCTTCCTTCGTGCGGTTCGCCTTCCTCGCCGCTCAACAACTTTCAACAAGCATTGTGGGAAAAACGGAGAGCGTCGGGGTTGACTTACCTTCGGCCTTGTGAGTAGTAGTGGATAGAATGCATGTCGGTAAAGCGAAGACACTTTTGAATCACATAACGATCCCAATCCGAATACCCATCATTGCCACACAGAATAAGCTGAATCGAAGGGTCGAGAAGTTTTAGGGCTTGTGCTTCTTGTCAGTTCCATTGACGACATCTCAGGGGAGCTCTCGAGACTGACCCTTTGCCCATTGAAATGCCTTCTTTGCGTAATCCTCCTTCGTATGTTGCTCAACTTGCCTGAGAAGTGGCTGTCAGCAAAACGCTTTGCACCGAAAGCTGGTTATGCTTACCACGGTCCCCACATCTCATTCCCCAAAGCCCAATATCTGACGTTGTAGGACTTCTCGTGGCCATTCATTCGCCGCAGGTTCGCCCAGTATGTGTTTTGGTCGCTGTTGCAATACTCCAACCAGGCCAGCGCGTCCTCAAGAGTGCCTGTGCCCATATTGAGGCAGAGATAGGGCTCAGCGCCCACATGCGTGCACCACTCCATGAACTCGTCTGTGCCGAACTGGTTTGACTCCACGCCATGCCACGCAAGCTCGGGTCGCGACGGGCGTTCCGCCTTTGGCCCGATACCGTCCTGCCAGCGGTATGAAGCCACAAAGTTGCCACCAGGGTAACGGACAACAGGGACCCTGAGCTCTTTGAAGCACTCGATCACATCAGTGCGGAAGCCGCGGGAGTCCGCCAGTCCGTTGCGGTTATTTGGGTCGTACAATCCGCCGTAAATACATCTACCCATATGCCTGAGACTCCAGTGGTTAGGAGCCGCAAGGTATTGAAGCGGGCTGTCGGAAAGGAGCTGTGCTTACTCTGTGAATCCTCCATAGATCAAAGGACTGATGTCTGAAATTGTGTGACTAGGATGCAGGGAAATGACTGGCGATTCGTCCTTGTCTTCTGACAGAACTGAAAGTGTAGAGGCCGCCATTTAGGACAACTTAGGGAGACAAGTCGGCCGGCTCCAGACATTCAGACTCTTACGATTCGGACTAAGTCAAGAAGCAAAAACGCAGACGCCGTATAATAAATACCGAACCCGATGTTCAGTGCGCGCTGATTGCTCGATCAGCTGGAGGTACCGAGTTCCGGCAGCGAAGCACGTAGACTCTTGGCGCTTTCGGGGGACCCGTTGCTGGATTCCCCGGAACGATTAACTAGCTGGCTGGGGTAAGTAGTTATAGTTAGTAATAAGGGAGCTACCTGTGAGCGAGATCGTGGGAAATTGCGCGGAGATTTGAAGCCACCCCGTAGGGTGTTCATATGCAGCGAGTCCCCTCCAATGCGGCTCCACCGGGACAACCTGTCTACTGTGCGCTCCACATATTTCTTTGTGCTCATATAGGACTCCTTCAAGCTTCGATCCATGTTCGCTTGGTCTTGAATTGTGGGTTCATGTTCCATAGGTTGGATTTTCATCGGAGCTGAAGAGTGAAATATCAGACTACTGTGTAAAGCGAGCGAACCAACAGAGAATTGTCCTCTAGCACGTCCATGATCTATGGATCCTCTGCAGTCCGCGGCTGGGACTCATCCCGGCCCACGCCGCCGTGCCGTGCAAGCATGCCTCGGTTGCGCCAAGCGGAAGACGCGTTGTGACGAGACGAAGCCAAGGTGTGGCAGTTGCACTGCTTTCAATGTTGAATGCGTCTACCATGAGCCGCCACCGCCAGCGCTGCGCATCGAACCCAGCACCAAGATCATCTTAGACCGCATCCATCTGTTGGAAGACCGGTTATTCTCGTCCTCTTGGTCTCTGAATCCGCTCCCACACGTGTCCTCGACTCCTCAGCAGGCCCCGGAGATCAACCTGCATGGAGGCGCCTCTTTCCTCCACCCAGGGCGTCGTCCCTTGCCCGACGTGCAAGTCCCTGTGCCGCACACGGCTGGGTCCCCTTATGTCTATGATCTACCAATCATCCAAGACCTGTTATCCAGAACCGATCCGACCACCACAGGGACAACAATAAGTGGCAAACGCATCACCCCGTTTCATGTCTTCTTCCAGGAAACTGTCACCGCGGCACCTCTCTCTCCGCCTCCGGAGTCATGGCGTCTGTTCCGGAATGACACTCTCTCGGCGTCCACGACACTCACTGCCACTTACCACAACCTGATTCACCACTACTTTCGAGAGGTCAATCCCTTCTTTCCCATACTATCATTGAAGCAGAGTCTCGCGACACTAGAGAACGTGATCGCCTCCGAAACCAGGCCAGACTCGTACGTGGCTACTATCCCACCCACCCGCTATTGTTCACTCCTGTTGGTTCTGTGTCTCAGCTCGCTCGTCGCATCTGGGCAGACACAGATACGGATTCCAGACCTGCAACATACAGGGATAGGGTTATCTCATCCCAGCGCCACTGATCATGGCAACTCTGAACCCCTACCAAGCGATGTGAGGCTCTGGGCGAAAGCAGAACTCCTCCTAGGAAGGCTTTCGTCAGAGATCTCCATCGAAGCCGCGCAATGCTGTATGTTAGCAAGGTACGAAATGTGTTTATCTGATCGTCTCCCGCAATCTTCTGCCATTCCATTCTTTAGTCCCTCTTCTTGTGTCGACTCTAGCTGGCTGACTCGCACTGTTACAGTGTATATCTCGGTGCTAAAGGGTATGTCTCTAAGGCATTTCAGTGGTCTCATGCAGCGTCCGTCAGGTGCGAGGCACTTGCGAACATGTACGCCGATACCAAAGATCTCTAGTTTGGATAGCAGATACTGAGTCGAAATTGTGTTCACAGACTTCTCTCAGACCCTGAAGCGTACAATGACCTAGCAGGTGCTTTCAGGCGGTTGTACTGGGTTGCGTACATCTGGGAAGGTGACTTCACGTCCGAGATATCGGTCTACGGTCCATCAGGAATGGCGAAATACGAAGACTTGGTTCCTTACCCGGTGTTCGAGATTGAATCGGACGCTAGTGCAGAAGCAGACGCTTCTGCGGCGAAAGCCAGCGAGTTGATTGCATTTCAGCTCAGCACGAACGTGTCGATCCGACGATGCTTAAATCGGGTCAACAGCGTTCTGTTCGACTCCAGAGAGCAACAGGCACGAGCGACTCAACCCAGCTACATCAGCTGGCTGTTGAGGACAACGGACGACCTGTGGACACATCATACTGCGGTGTATCTCAAAATACCGGACTTCCTCTTCACGAACGATCCGAGTCGCAGCGAATCACCACACCAAGGCTATCACCAAATGCCGTTCCCGCCATCTCAAAGAGCAGACACAACTACAGACATGGGAAACAAGCCGTGGAATGTAGTACGCCTGAAAGGCAGATATTACGCAGGGCAATACATCATACACCGACCGTTTATCGAGTTTGTTCTGCTCAATCTCAACCAGTTCCTTGCTCATCCCAACAAGATGACCGTTTTGGAAAGATGCAAGGTCTGCCTTGAGGGATGTGCAGGATTCATCGGTGTCTTTGATCGGGAACCCTTGAATGGCGCAACTTGCCTCTTCTCAGCTGGTATAACGTGAGACTCAACGGGCTATATACCCAGTACATTAGGTTGCACGTGCGAGACTGACTTCTGCTCAAAGGACATTCAAAATGGTCATGATACTGATCGCCGCAAGCATTACACCCGAGCTCCAGGTGATACTCCCACTAGATATCGAGCACAAGATCTCAACAGGGAAGAGGAACATGAAACGATTCGGTGTGAGCATTAGGGAATTTGAGTGGCATTACGAAGTATTGGAACGCTTAGATGCCGCCCGGAGGGGTGACTGCATCAAGCCTACTATCTAACCGATCGGCTCCTGGCAGAAGTAGAAAGTCATTGAAGAGACTACGGCCTTAGAATGCCGAGTATCTCCGAAGGCACGGCACGTTCCACACTGTCTTCTACAACCTTATCAAGGGCCCTCATTGCTAGTAACGAACTCTTAAATGATTGACCTGGAGAGGCACCATATATTCCCACGAATAATCACAATATACACAACATTGTCATGGTTCATCTTAGAATAAACGCAGAGTGACTTCCATTCAATCTACAGATGCTACATACACACAGAAATTCTGACCTCTTTCGATGAAGAAAACCGATGCTAGTTCCTCTATGATTGATCACGCGATCGGGCGTTCTTGACGCACGCCTAGGGCATCGCTTATTGTATGCTTGTGCCTCACCGGCAACTATTCGACTTCAGGAGACCCTGACCTTGCATTCACCAATTCCCCATCGTCTCTGCTTGGCGTGCCGAGGGGCTTGTCGGGGACTCTATTTTAGCTTCCCCTAGCAGCGCCTCCAGCGTAGAGCAGCCGTAGTGTCGGGGAAGAATAGTCTAGCGTCCCCGACACGACTATAGCAACACTTCGAAGAGGGGGGCGAACGAGAACAATGATTCAATCGCCAATGTACCCCGTTTTCTACTAGACCAGCACCTCGTGACCTGTGCCTCCATCTGCTTCGCTGTGGGGACCCCAATCCCCCAGGCGCAGGATGTATTTCCCAGAATTGTCACCCCTTTCCCCGAGGTGCCAGTGCCTGGTCCATTTCTCAGCGTGGACTTGGCACGCTGTTGATCATCATATCGCCTTCAGCACCGTCGCTCGTTGCTCAAATATATAAAATCATGCAGTTCGTTCGGCCTGGTGATTCCAATCACTCAGCCAGCAACGCACAGCAGAAAGAAGACTCCTGTTGTTCTTGAATCTGTCCCCTTTATCTGATCAATCTAAGCTGCTCCTCCAATGAACGCCGTCCGTGACGCCTTGCCGGCCTTGAGGCAGGCAAAGATCGCCAAAGAGTCGCGGAAGAATGGCGGTACTGCTACTGCGAACGAGGACCACCAGCCCTCGCGCATGGCTGTCCTTGCGCAGGAGGCTCCTCCATGGCACAGGTCCGCCAGCCGCCGTCGCCTTTACGGCCTTCTCTTTCCAGCCGCGGTTGTATCCTACGCTACCAGCGGCTATGACGGCTCGATGATGAACTCGCTGCAAACAGTGGCGTACTGGGACGACTACTTTGACAATCCAAGGGGCCTGAACCTCGGTCTGATCAGCGCCATTATGTCTCTGGGTAGTATATGCTCGACCCCCATTGCCCCCTGGGTTGCGGATCGATGGGGCCGACGGATGGGCATAACTGTTGGCAGCATCATCATGATCATTGGTGCTATTCTCCAATGTGAAAGCGTTAATTTTGGCATGTTTGTCGGTAGCCGCTTTATCTTAGGCTTTGGCCTCTCCTTTGCAACCACCTCTGCACCAAGTTTGGTTAGCGAGCTGAGCCACCCGAAGGATCGCGTCACAGTAACGGCAATTTGTAACACATGGTACGTACTGCACTCTCGTGTGACCTTGACCTGTCTTGTCTCGCTCTCCTACAATAGACTTTCTGCGGTATTGGCTCAGACTGTTGACATCTGTCGCATGATACAGCTGGCCATTCGGTGCTATTATTGCCGCCTGGGTCACCTACGGTACTAGAGTCATTCCCAGTACTTGGTCCTGGAGGATACCCTCTCTGCTACAAATGATACCTAGTATTATTCAAATTTCGACAGTTTGGTTCTTGCCCGAGTCACCACGATGGCTTATTTCCCACGATCGCGACGAAGAGGCGCTTGCTGCACTACGAAGATATCACGGCGAGGGCGGAGACACGGAGCTTGTCCGCTTAGAGTATGAGGAGATCCGAGCTGCTATCGATAACGAGAAAAGTAAGGCTCGCCGAAGCTACACTTCTACGATACGTGACTAATTTGGGTACACTTCAGGAAACGAGGCCACAACGTGGAAGTCCATGGTCTCTACCAGTGGAAACCGGTATCGAGTGTTCCTCATTGTCTGCATGGGTGTTTTCAGCCAGTGGTCTGGAAACGGGCTGATCTCTTATTGTAAGGCATCCCTTGTTTCTGCAGATCCCTTCTCTCTCACTTGGGAGAGCGATGTCTCCCTGCGATCTATCTACTGACTAAACAGACCTCTCCCGCATCATGGACACTGTTGGCATCAAGAGCAAAGATACTCAGGCACTCGTCAACGGTCTCCTCACCGTCTGGAACTGGCTAGTAGCCCTCACCACGGCCATGTTTGTTGAGCGTCTGGGTCGCCGTCCCCTATTTCGCACCTCAACTATCGGCATGCTCGTTGTTTTCAGTTCCTGGACTGTTGCATCCGCTCGGTTTGCAGAGACGGGAGCGAACGCCGCCGGCATCGCCGTGATGGTATTTGTCTTCCTTTTCATGTTCTTCTACAGCATCGCCTTCTCTCCTCTGCCAGTGGCTTACTCCGTCGAGGTGCTCCCTTACTCGATCAGGGCCAAGGGCATGGCAACCTATGTCTTCTCGACCAAGTGCGCCGTCTTCGTCAACCAATATGTTAATCCAATTGGACTTGAAGCCATTTCGTGGAGATTCTACTTGGTCTATGTGGTGATCCTCTCCATTGAGAGTTTCATCGCCTATGGCTGGTTCCTTGAAACCAAAGGGAAGGCACTCGAAGAGATTGCAGTCATCTTCGACGGGGAAGCTGCTGATGTTCGCCTACATGCTGAGGCAGCGAAAGAAAGCAATGACCCGATGGTTAGGGAACTGAGCAACTCTATGAGGGAGGCATGAGCGCTGGAAGAGCAGGCACAATATATCTACCTGGACGAGAACTGCGAGTCCAGGATACTTGTCACGCCACACTGTAACCCCATTACCGAGGTGCGAGACAGTTTCGTGTCTGGTAGATGTTGAATAAGAAACAGGTCCCAAACCAAGCCAAGTATAGTGATTTTACTCGAGCATATCACTAGATACCTGTGGATTCGAAAGTTCCCACGACGAGGGACCGTGGCAACGCTTCCTAAGACATAGCATTTAGTCACGGAACACTGACATTTAGGATGCGCATTAGTATTTCACGCGGACGTACCTGTTCGAATTCCACCTGTAGATGCAAATAATTAAACTGGTAAATCACGTATTACACTATCATGGAGCTGCGAGTGCCTAAGATAGAAGAAGTAGAACTGTCTATAAAAGGATACATTACCATTCTAGCAATGAAATGTCAAATAATAGAAAAGTAAGACGTGTTATCAGACCTCCAACTTGAAAGGTCTGGCTTAATTCTCGTGGACTCAAAGGTGGCCAGGGCTGAGGGGAGAGTTTACGACGAGTAGAAACAGTGCTCTTCGCCCTAGATGTATGCTAGCAAACATACACAGCGGCAGATCATTCCCGATATATGCGCTTTTGTTGTCAATGTCGTCGTGCGAACGACAGAGTGTTGGCATTCCAATATTGAGTCATATTACGGCTTGGTGGTGGTGGCGACCTTGGTGTTGTTATTATGTGGGAATCATCTCAGTAGAATGGCTCCTTGTTAGTCTGATATTTGTCAAAGAGACGCAAAGTTGGCATGTTGAGAAGATGGTACCAGGTGTATCCTGATAGTACACGATGGCGCTTTTTCTCTATTTCAGCCATATTGAGTGAGAAATTTCGGTAATTGTCTATTCAGTGAGCTTCTATCACCGCTCCCGGGGAAATTATGGAAGCTGTCCCGCGCTCAAAGATGAGTTCGACTGGTTGTTGTCTGAAGTCTACCTAGCCAGAAGACTTGAAGGTTGAAGATATATATTTATCTTTCGTTTATAAAAATCTATACTTAAATATATTAGTATATTAAATATTTAAGAAATACTTTTATACTTTATAAAAAGTTACCTAAGAAAGATGGGTGGGTGAGCGTTCCAAAAGCTGAACGAAGCTGCGGAAAGGATACATCTGCCCCTCAACGTCACCAGCGGGATACCCGATCCTATTCGTACCAAAGAAGGACGGACGACTATGACTTTGTGTCGACTACAGACAGCTTAACGACATTACAATCAAGAATCGATACCCTCTGCCGTTGATTTCGGAACTACGCGACAAACTACACGGAGCCCAGATCTTCACGACGCTATACCTGAAAGGAGCATATAATCTGATCCGAATAGCAGAAGGGGAAGAGTGGAAGACCGCTTTTCGGACAAATCGGGGACTCTTCGAGTATCTGGTAATGCCTTTCGACTTACCAACGCACCAGCCAGCTTCCAAGCCATGATCAACCATGTCCTTCGGAATTACCTCGATCAGTTCGTGGTAGTCTATCTGGACGACATCTTGATCTTTTCGAAAACGCCAGAAGAGCATGAACGGCACGTTCACCAGGTGCTCGCGACCCTAGAGGACGCCCAGCTTCTTGTGGAACCCGGAAAGGCGAAATGGCATGCACAGGAAGTCAAATACCTCGGCTATTGCATCAGCCCTGGGAAGATTGGCATGGACCCTGAGAAGGTACGAGCCATACGAGATTGGCCTCGACCACAGAACGTCAAGGACGCACCAAGCGTCCTTGGATTCATGAATTTCTACCGACGATTTGTGAAGGGATACAGTCAAGTAGCGACACCCCTCACACAGCTCACGAAGAAGGATCAAGCCTTCGAATAGGAAGGAACCTCAACAGCAGGCCTTCGACAAGCTCAAGGAGCTGATTCTCCAAGAACCAATCCTTACAATCCCAGACCCAGAAAAACCTTTCCAAGTCGAAATCGATGCCTCAGAATTCGCTCTGGGAGGACAACTTGGACAACGAGACGAGGAAGGACGACTTCACCCTGTCGCCTTCTACTCGAAGAAGCTGAACGGACCTGAGCTTAATTACCAAATCCACGACAAGGAACTAATGGCTATTATCGAAGCCTTTAGAGAATGAAAGCACTACCTCACAGGAACGAAACATCCTGTCAAGGTCTACACGGATCATAAGAATCTGACCAACTTCACGACCACGAAAGCCCTTGACAAACGCCAAACACGATGGGCAGAGTTTCTTTCGGAATTCAATTTCACGATTATCTATCGGAAAGGCACTGAGAATGAACGAGCAGATGTGCTCAGCCGACGCAGTGACCTCGAACCGGATATACCCCCGCAGCAAAGTTGACTATTGCGAGAGGACTCGGAATGGAATCTGACGACAGGACATGAGGTGTCTACCGTCGCCAGAGATGAGACCCGACTGATTAAGGAAGTCCACGAAGCCAAGGCACACGGCCGACACAAACCCTATGGAGAAATCCGACCACTCCAAATACCCGATGCGCCATGGCACTCAGTATCATTGGACTTCATCACCGGACTACCCCCTTCGACCGAGCCTCTTACGCAAACGGTGTACGACAGTATCTTAGTGATTGTGGACAGGCTCACTAAGTACTCATACTTCATTCCTTTTGTCAAGGACGGAAACACGCTTCAGTTTGTCTATATGTTCACACAGAACATCATAGCAAACCATGGAATGCCACAAGAACTTATCTCCGACAGAGACAAGCTCTTCACCAGTCACTTTTGGCAAGCCCTTACAGCACAACTTAGAGTACAACATCATCTATCCACAACGTTTCACCCTCAGACGGATGGACAGACAGACAGACAGAAAGAACAAACCAGACACTGTAACAGTACCTCCGATGCTGTGTCAACTACCCCCAGAACGACTGGGTACAGCTCTTGCCGCTAGCACAATTCGCGTACAATGGTGCATTCAACGAATCCACGAAGAAAACACCGATGCATGCCAACTATGGGTACACGCCTACGGTATACGGTGAAGCCAGGGAAGCAAAGGATGCCCCTGCAGCCACGAAAGCGGCCGAACAACCCAAACAGCTGCACGAAGAACTCAAGACAGATCTCCAATTCATCCAGCGACGCATGACAAGATACGCTGACAAACGAAGGATGAAGGGACCATCCTTCAAGGAGGGAGATAAAGTCTACCTCGCTGGCCAAAAAAAATCAAGACAAAGCGACCAAGCGACAACCTTGACTACAAACCTGGCACAATATCACCAACTGGCAAAGACGCCCCGACGCGGTGCACGGCGCTAGCACCACCACTTCTTCATTGGAAGGCTAAAATTACATCGCACCCAATACACACCAAAAACAAATCTCGCGACAACGAGGCGTCGCATACAAGACCCGTTCAGTCGACCACCTCGACACCCAGCCTTTTCCTCTTCCTCTCTTCACCATGGATAAGAAACAAGTCTCCCCGGAGCTCTCGCAAGCAGAACTTCTGCCAACCCAAGAAGAGCAAGTTCCAGCAAATCCACCGTCACGAAAACGACAGATCGACAGCGACAGCGACGCCGAACCTCTAACAAAACGAGCACGATTGACGCAGAAGAACTTAGCCCTGTTTGACAAGATAGGCAAGAAGAAGACCTCAGACCCCACAGACGACTCAAAGTCAACCCAAACCACGTCAACGACATCGTCCGGCTTTGCCGATAAGGCCCGGCACAATAGGATACTCCATCCACTTCGCTCTCAACCCCCTATAAACCTCGATGACATCCGTGAGCAACACGCTGCCGCCCGCGCTACCGCTTCCCCTCCGGAATCGGTATATGGGGACTATGTCAACCGAATCGGAAAGGCAGGCAACAAAGCAACCATGGTCGTTGAAATGAGCGATCTACTGAAGAGGTATGACGACAAGGAGTACAACCGAGCCTTCAACCGGTCATTCACGAACGTCCCGCTAAACGCTGGCTACAACAACGGCTTGTCAGCCCCACAGCCTGACTTTGTCGAAGGACTTGAGGTGGAGGAGTACCGCCCATTCCCGATCGACAAACACGTCCCTGGAGCGACCCTCTACCAAGACGACCCCTTCTCCCTGACGTTGCCACACGTGGCCGGAGAATGGAAGGGTAGCGGAAAAGACATGGACCAGGCGAGACTCCAGAGTGCCTACGACGGAGCAGCCATGGTTTACGCAAGAACCCAAGCCCTTTCCTATATGGGAAAATCGGATCCCCCAGGACACGCAGCAATCACGACGTTCACCACAGACGGCACCAATCTCATCATGTACGCTCATTACGCAATCCCATCAGAAGAAGATGAAGACACACTCGAGTACCATCAGTACCAGTACGCGTCGACGAACATCAAGGATTCCCACCAAGGACACAAAGACGGTCGAAAAGGTCTCAGGAACGCCCAAGACCACGCAAAGGACCAGTCGTACGCCCTGAAGGACCAGCTGAAAGAGCACTGGAAGCAACGCAGCACCTTTCACCCCATTGCCGACGAAGATCCCCTGCCCGTACCAGGTGAGGCTCTCGGAGCAACGAGCGCGGACGAAGAAGTAGTTCCTTACGAAGAACCGGCACCATACGACGACGAAGCCGATGAGGACGACTACGAGGTAGTGGAACCTTGCCAGCCAACGCCCGCCGCCTCTGCTGCATCACGCAAGGCATCACACTCGCATTCTTCATCGAAACGAAGCCACACCTCTGGCGATGGAGACCGTAAACGGAAGGCCTCACCGCCGCCTCGTGCCCCACCGAAACCACGAAGAAGCAAGGCGAAACCTTACTGGGTCCTTGACGACGAAAGCGGAGAATACTATCACAAACACTCCGATGGCACGACCTCATGGTTCAACGGCGACGACGACAACGAGGATTAAGAAGCCCTACTCAGGACATCGGTCTCTGGGACATCGACTATGAAGGAGGGGAAACCTATTATAACCTGCCAAGCCATATCAGCGTTATAAGCATATGACCATAGGTGGTCACGACACTATAACAAGATATAAGGTCAAAAGTGACGATGATCAACATCATCATCACCACCGTGACGACCACGACCACGACGACGACGCGACGCCGACGATGATCTTTGAATTCGGTGATTTTGCCAACACAAGCAACAGCGCCGTCATAGCTGCGTTGGACGGGAAGATCGAGATGCCTCTTTCCAAGTTCCGAGACCTAGTACGCAAGTTAGAAGATCTCTGCTGCAGCCCACACGCGTCGGAAATCCCTCCCCTTCCACCCAACGTCACCAAGAGGCGACGAACAGCGCCCACAATCGACCAGGCTGCTTAGGAAGCAGGTCTCGACGACAATTGGAAAGAGAACAAGATGGACTACAATGGGGAAGAGCACACGGATGGACCGTACCGCGGCAAGAGGTCCCCCGATGGCACACAGGCTCCGGCTCCGGCTCCTCGTCGCTCCGCTCGCCATACTGCGTGCGAATCCCACCCAAGCAGCGCTTAGACAGCATTATAAGACACGTTAGAGAGGGCGTGCGCGCGCGCGTTTGTTCATGATGTGTGTGTGTGTGTGTGTGTGTGTGTGTGTGAGGGAGTGGGTAAGGTAAGGGAGGAATAAAATCGGCTCTTTTTCAGTTCAGTTCAACTTTCTAGTGAGGAGAGGGTGCCGTGGGTTTGCCTCTGGCGGGCTCGGGCTTGAAGAGAATTGAAACGAACGGGCTTCCCCCTTTCCCCAAGCAGTATTCCTCCTGAAGAGAAGCGATAGAGTCTCCTTGTTTGCTGCAGACAGGCTGGTTGATATCGCGTATCGATTGCCTACCAGTAATAGATCAGGTCATATCAGGCCGAGAAGCGAATGTGGTGGCTGAGATCGTCTACCAGTCTTATGAGAAAAGGCGTTGATAACGCCGAAGATCAACAGTGTGAATTCGAGAAATGATTGTCATAGGCAGTCGGGAACATACTGGGTGAATCGACGATCGACTGATGAAAAGCGAAGTAGTAGCTATGAAGCGACAGGGCCGAGATGTATGAGATGCATACACTGGCGAGAGGAAGAGTCAGTGACGCGCTCTCTGAGGAGAGACTAGCTTCAATAATGATGCTGAACTGACACCGCCCCCTGTCAGAAACTGACTTCAAAACAGTCTTCAAGCGTCCTGTCCGCGTGAATCAAGCGCGCGGATGCGCAGAGGGACAATAAATCAGGGGCGAAGATGCTTTGTTGGACTCGTGCGGTTGAACTCGAGCATATGCGACGGAATGCTGTATCTTGATCGATGTGATGCCAAATAAATGGCTAGTTCGAACTGATGGTGGTATTGCCGTATGGTATGGGCGAATCGGATCTGAATCTGGGCTTGGAATTGAATCAAAATCCAGCTCGGAATAGTAGAGGGTTAGTAAGGATTAATGTTGAAACGAGGGACTGACTTGCTGGCCAGCGAGAGGCGAGGCCTTAGAAAGATGGGTGGGTGAGCGTTCCAAAAGCTGAACGAAGCTGGAGTAGATCAATCCTATTCATTCATTCGTTCAGATGATTCCGATGAATCATTTTATGACAATCAATTATTCATCAGGTAAAGTCCTCTCTGTAATTATCTATTCCAGCTGTGCGGAATTGCCCTTGACCTGCAAACATTTACATCTTTACAAACAAGAAGGATCCATCCAGCTGGAGTGCTGCTTTCTGCAACTCACAACATGCAAGACGAGAGCCCCCCCAAATCAATGCTCAACCCCTACAAAAGAACGCCGTGGCGAACGCCATGCCATGCAATGCTGAAGGGGATGCTCCTCGCGCTCCGATGCATCCATCCTGTCCTTGCCATATCCAGACATATTTCCAGTTTCTCCGTTCAGTCGTGCGTCCGTCCGTCCTTCTATCCACCCCTCTGTCTGTCTATTCATCGTAGACGTCGGAAAGAGAGGCCGCTGGTCCAGGTGACCGAGCGCCGCACAAGACTCGCACCACGATAGGCCATGGCGGGGGCGCGGGCCAGGGCGGGGGCAGGCGCGGCGTTGTGAGGACGAAGATGAGGAAGAGCAAGAGCGAGAGCAAGACAGGGAGGTGGTCGTCGTTGTGCGACGGCGACGGGGTCAGCCATTGCTGTTGGCCGGGAGAGGGCACCGCGGAAGCCCTGGCCTGGGACCCCCTTGATAGACAAGGACGACGTGACAGCAGCAGCAGTATGAGTAGCAGTATGGGCGGAGTTGCTCTGGCGGCTTTGTGTGCTGTAGAACCTCTTCTTGCCCGTGTAGTCCGCAATACACCTCGCCTTGATCTGTGCCAGTGACGAGTGGCGCACCCCAGCATTCGGCTTGCGCGCAACCTGCCCGTCTTTCTTGCTAGTGCCATCGCCTTGATCATCCTTGCTGTCTTCTTCTGCAGCCGCCGCTGATGCCATGGTAGCAAGGTGATAGGTGTCTGCGACAGCCTGCTCCTCGGCCGCCTGCTTGGCGAGCACGTAGATGTCGAGCATAGGGATATCGATAGGGACGTGGCGTGGGAGGCGTGGGTCCAGGTCGTGGAGGGAGAGGGGAAGGCAACCAGTAGACGTAGGTGTGATGGGTACGTTGGAGGCTGAGATATCGACTCTAAGGTGGGGATGATGTCTGGACCTGCCATTGGTCTGGGTGCTGTGAGAGACTGTAGTCTTCTTGGAGTCCTTATCCTCGTTCTTCTTAGCCTTGACCTCGACCTCAGCCTCAGCTTCTTCGAGGGTAGTAGCAACGTGCAGGACCGTCATGGTGAGCTTGAAAACTTTGTCGGGAAGCTCAAGATTATTCTTGCCACTACTGTTGCTCAGATGCTGCAGACGCTTCTTACGGCCAGTGTAGGTGCAATTGAGGATGATGACGGCACGGATCTTGCCATCTGTTCCGAGGATATAATCTATAAGGGATATCTCTGATTAGCTTAAAGGCAGGCGATCTTACCGTTGAGGCATAATAGTAGAAAGGGGTTCAAACTGCCCAACCAACCTTTTGCCTGCGGCATCTTCGTCTTACTTGCAAAGTCTATCTCGACAACGATCGGCCTAGGAAACTGCCCCATCCATCCAAGTTGAATATCTGGTCTACCGCTTCCGTCAAGCAGCGGATACTCATACTGACATAGGATACCGGCCGGGTGGAGCTCCTTATAGTAGTATTGTCCGGGTCTGGAGGCGCCTTTGGTAAGTGTATCCTGATCTTCTTTCTCGTGGTTCTCATGGTCCTGCTCCCGGTACTAGCTGGAGCAGGCCTGCTGCGCACGCTCCTCGATGAGCCGACCGACAGAGTGCTTGAAGCATAGGTGGAACACCGTCTCAGGCTGGCGTGTGATGGTCATGGCGCACAAGCGGGGGTTGTAGAAGAGCGGACGCATACGCTGGTGCAGGTGGCGGCCGAGGGAGGCAAGTTCCTGTCTGATCAGAGCACAAGAAGTAGCATCAGAGAGCACGACGTCGCGCTTGTTGCATTTGGATTTGTCTCCGTCTCCGTCTCCCGTGGGAGCGATGGTGGTGGTGGTGGTAGTGGGGCTGGAAACTGCAGGCAGAGCAAAAATTGACAGGTTAGCAAAATATGCGATTTCGTCTGATGATTGCAGTAGAGGGAAGGGGCAAGGGCAAAAGTCGCGACGCGCGCGCGAGATAGAGAGGAAGGGAGAAGAAGAGAAAAAGGTCGAGTTTCTTGACTTGCCTGTTGTCTCCAGCGTGTCAACGTTAACGTCAACTTCTTCGAGTTGCAGAGCTTCGCCTTCGCCTGTCAACTGTAGCAGCTCAATGAGCAGCTCGTAATCGGAAGGTTCGAGAGGGAACGTGATCTGCGCACAAAACTCGGTCTCGGTCTCGGTCTCGAAATTGGGAACAACAAAGCCTTTGTTGATATCGCCCTCGACCTCGACCTCGAACTCGGACTCGACCTCGACCTTGTGACCGTGATCGTGATCGTGATGATCGCGATGCTGCTGAATGAAGTCGACGACGGCGCGGACATTCTCGGGCCACGCGCGGGCTTCTGGTGTGTCGCACAAACGTCGTCGTCTAGAAAGGCGGCTTTGGTGGATGAGACAGTCGCGATCTGGATCTGTCGAGCAGCGCATGCGCACGTTATTCGCCATGATTGCGTATGGGTTGTTTTCACCGCGTTCACATTCACGTTCACGTTCACGGGCTTTGACGAGTACGAGTCGTTTGTGGGTTGCGACGGGACAAAAAGACAATCACCCTCTACCAGTCGCGCGTCCACGACATTAACGCGCGAAGTCCGTGCGCGTGTGCACGTGCGTGTGCACATGCTTTTGAACAGAACCCCGAACCCCCCGCCCCCCCCAAATTCTCATCAACTCTAAGACAGATGGCATTTCACTTCTCATATCCATCTCACATAATTATTATTACTCTTTTATCCCGTTGCAACTCGAGGAAGTGGTCAAGTCTTCAAGGCTCCGAGTTTTCGAGTCTTCGAGTCTTCGAGTCTTCGAGTCTTCGAGTCCCAATATGATCTATATCGCTTATTCGGAGCACTGATTTGGGTTCATCCAGGGCGCTCGAGTCCAGCCCGAGTCCTCCGAGTCTACCTCGAATACTATGAAAAGATACCAGCTGTATGGCACCTATTGAAGTCTGGGGATCAGTGACTGACTTGTTCTCATTCGATTCGATAGCATCTACCGGTATAGAGCAGTGAGTGATTAGGTTCAAAACTCTTGAAGCTGCAGGTGTCCGCATTGCTACGTATTCGACAACACTTCCTCCATCTCTGAATCTGGTGTCTCATTGTCAACTTAGGTAGCTAGCCAGCCATCCAGACAGATCTGTCTATGTCTAGATTGGCCCTGGAGGAACCTCCCTTCCTCAAATACGACATGGCGAATTCATGAATTTACCCGTCAGAATCACGAAAAACAATATCGCTGCGTCCAAGACCAAATTGCATATCACAGTAGAAACCGACGACGGCATATAAACCGATGCCAATCATGTTTTCCTCTAGTCCGCTTGCTGTTTGGGGCACTCACTCCCAGACATTGTTTATGGGCATGCCTCCATGGCTTGATAACCAAACTCAACACCTTTCTCCTTCTCCTTCAGTTCAAGGTCACCTCCTCCTGACTATGTGCCCGCCTCGTTTCAGGCGGCAATGTCTTCCAGTGCCTTGTTAGCTACGGCGCAGAGCCACGGCTCGTCTGCGATATCCCCTCCCCCCCTTAGAGATCGACGCAGCCATAGTGGGGAATTAGAGAGTACGCCCCAGAGGGTATCCACACGTCAGAAACATTCAATCGAGACCGAAGTCAAATCACGGCCTAATATCACGGTCAGGACTCAGCTACAGCCACATCATCATGTCAGTATGAGTCTCGATCCGCCTTCATTAGTAGATGTCACGCATTCGAGTGCTACGAGGTTCAACAGGGGTTAATAGCTCAACGACAAGGTCATCAACAGTGTAATATATCGTTGCCAAAATGCGACACTGGCCGCCATTTTAAGTCTTACCATAAAGCATTCAGTGTCACGACAAGTGGCCGCCACTGTTCACTATAGAACCTTCGACACCGAGAATGGGTAATCGTGCCAGCTTTTAAGGCAATATACAAGCATTGAAAGCTATATTGTTGGTGGTATCTAGTTACGAAGATGTGACAAAAGAGAGCCCCG